TAGACTAGACTATAGACTAGACTATAGACTAGACTATAGACTAGACTATAGACTAGACTATAGACTAGACTATAGACTAGACTATAGACTAGACTATAGACTAGACTATAGACTAGACTATAGACTAGACTATAGACTAGACACTAGACTATAGACTAGACTATAGACTAGACTATAGACTAGACTATAGACTAGACTATAGACTAGACTATAGACTAGACTATAGACTAGACTATAGACTAGACTATAGACTAGACTATAGACTATACTATAGACTAGACTATAGACTAGACTATAGACTAGACTATAGACTAGACTATAGACTAGACTATAGACTAGACTATAGACTAGACTATAGACTAGACTATAGACTAGACTATAGACTAGACTATAGACTAGACTATAGACTAGACTATAGACTAGACTATAGACTAGACTATAGACTAGACTATAGACTAGACTATAGACTAGACTATAGACTAGACTATAGACTAGACTATAGACTAGACTATAGACTAGACTATAGACTAGACTATAGACTAGACTATAGACTAGACTATAGACTAGACTATAGACTAGACTATAGACTAGACTATAGACTAGACTATAGACTAGACTATAGACTAGACTATAGACTAGTCTATAGACTAGACTATAGACTAGACTATAGACTAGACTATAGACTAGACTATAGACTAGACTATAGACTAGACTATATACTAGACTATAGACTAGACTATAGACTAGACTATATACTAGACTATAGACTAGACTATAGACTAGACTATAGACTAGACTATAGACTAGACTATAGACTAGACTATAGACTAGACTATAGACTAGACTATAGACTAGACTATAGACTAGACTATAGACTAGACTATAGACTAGACTATAGACTAGACTATAGACTAGACTATAGACTAGACTATAGACTAGACTATAGACTAGACTATAGACTAGATTATAGACTAGACTATAGACTAGACTATAGACTAGACTATAGACTAGACTATAGACTAGACTATAGACTAGACTATAGACTAGACTATAGACTAGACTATAGACTAGACTATAGACTAGACTATAGACTAGACTATAGACTAGACTATAGACTAGACTATAGACTAGACTATAGCCTAGACTATAGACTAGACTATAGACTAGACTATAGACTAGACTATAGACTAGACTATAGACTAGACTATAGACTAGACTATAGACTAGACTATAGACTAGACTATAGACTAGACTATAGACTAGACTATAGACTAGACTATAGACTAGACTATAGACTAGACTATAGACTAGACTATAGACTAGACTATAGACTAGACTATAGACTAGACTATAGACTAGACTATAGACACTATAGACTAGACTATAGACTAGACTATAGACTAGACTATAGACTAGACTATAGACTAGACTATAGACTAGACTATAGACTAGACTATAGACTAGACTATAGACTAGACTATAGACTAGACTATAGACTAGACTATAGACTAGACTATAGACTAGACTATAGACTAGACTATAGACTAGACTATAGACTAGACTATAGACTAGACTATAGACTAGACTATAGCGAAATTAAACATAATGATAATTATTATATTATCGTTAAATAAAACTACAACATTTTTATAAAAATTAAGAAAAAGTATAATATAATTCACGAACTATTTTTATAAAAAAAAATTAAAAATTCGTGTGGAGAATGAGAAAATGAACAAAAATGTTTGCATAAATTAATATTTCGTAAATTTTACTATATTTATTCAGAATTCACTTTTTTCAATTTATTTAAATTCATTTTTCCAATATTATTTTGGATTATACTAAAATATTTTGTACAATTTCGTATATATTACGAAAGAATTTCGTGGTGCGAAACAACGGAAGATTCGTACAATGTACGACATTTTTCGTATATATTAGGCATGGATTTTCTCAGTGTATAAACTAGACTATAGACTGGACCATAGACTAGACTACAGACTGATCAATAGACTACACTATAGACTAGACTATTATTTGTGCTACATGGAAGTAAGTTATGTGTATGCCTAATTTCTAGCATTTTACAAAATACCAAAGTTACTGAACATCTTTGTGTTCAATTTTCAATTTTCAACTTTTAACATTACAATAAAAAATTAAATCACACAATTACAATATTGTTAAAAATAACGAACTAAATATCCTTTCATAAATTAGCATTTTTAATTTCAAATCTAAAAATATTTTACCAGTGACTGCTATGGTCATTGCTATGGTTAACATTCTCACACACACTTTTGCTTATAAATGTTTGTGTATGTTTAAGTCTAATTTACTTTACGGTCTCGTTTTAATGTCATTTTTTAAATTGCAAATTGTATTTTAACACTTTCAAAAAAAAAAAAAAACATGCAATTTATATGCAAAATAAATTTAGTTCTCTTTGCCTTTTTGTGTACTATTTAGTTAAAAATTTAAAAAAAATACACATAGTTTGTGTGTTGGTTGGCACAAGTGTTGTTTTAAGTTTATGCCTTTATTTTATTAACAACTCCTTGGAGTATCGTTGCACTGCAACGTTTAGTATCGTGTTAAACACAAATTACAATAAAGTCCTTTTTTCACATATTATAATATTCTTATTGTTCTTTTAATTAAGTAAATATTTGTAGAGATTTTTTGTTGCTGTGGTTCGTTTTGTTTTATTTTATAATTTTAAAGGGTAGTTATAAAATAAAATAAATAATTTAAATAAAGGATTTCGACCTCAAGTTCATTTATGTGGGATTATAAATATTTATATGGTAGTACTTTTTTTATAAATATTTATAAAATATGACAGTAATTTATTGCATATTACTCGTACTAAAAGAAAACTAACCCGAAATACATACATATTTATTAAACAACGTTTACATGGACACAGGGATGGACGCACGATTACAAAATCAGTACAAACGCATAACACCCTTCTTACTAAAGTGGTGTAGGGTGTAATTACATGTTAACCGGTGTAATATACATACATACATTGTTTATAATTAAACCATCTCCTTCTTGATTTCTCCTTTTGCATGAAATGAGTCTTTCCTAGATCCTCTTATTCTTGATTTCTCCTTTTGCATGAAATGAGACTTTCCTAGATCCTCTAAAGTCCAAAGATCCATTTTTTCACTTCCCTCTCAACTTTTCCGGGTGCCCGGTCTCCCTTGCAAATTACATCGTGATTAAATAAATAATAGCTGACTTGGGTGCTATCATAGGTACCGTTTTGTCTTCGCACCAATTATTCCTAATCCCACTGATCAACGGTACTTTATATTCAATTTATTGCTCTAATAAATGCGTGGATGTTCTTGTAAGGGTTACTGTCGAATGTCTCTCTATCTCAAGAGGCAATCAAAACTCGTGGGCTCCGATGTTGACGGCCACATATACATATTTCCGTTCAATATCCGCAGCTATTTTAATGGTCATTACTTCGCCCAAGATTATAGCATTAATCTGACAGCTTAATTGACAATCGTATATTTAACTCGTTCGAAAATAATCTGACTTACCAGCGAATTTTAGGTCTCTGCCGATGTGGAAAGATCAATATTCCGACAATAATTGATCTTATGCAATCAGTCTTTGTCGTACTATTATTAAAGGAAAAGAAATTTGGTCTAGTCTTAACCCACCGAATTGATATTTTTACCAAAATATATAAAATCGCACAAATTAGACCACTTAACTATGAGAGTCGAATAAGTTAGGTGCTCTATGTTCGGTTTCATTGGTTTCTGAATTTACGCGGAAGTCATACAGATATTATGAGCTAGGATTCAATTGGATACCTGGGGATATCGATACAGATTTGCCTCTATCATCAGATCATTCTAGAGACAATGTTTGAAGTACCTGTTTTTGACTCGTGCCATTTAGTATCGGTTATGTACCAAGGCAGGTGGTCTTTTGCGACAACAGGCGATTTCACTAAGATATCAAGCTATAATAGAACCAACAAGAGAAGACTGGGCTGCAAACACAGTTATTCGTATCCCCCGGAGGCATATTACCTTAATGAAAGACCCCATCTTGGTGTGATTGCTATTTCGGGGAAAATAGGTACTAGCAGTACTGCCGGGACTATAAACTGGTGATGATCAAATGTATCATCGGTCTTTCCTTGGAATGATTTGACATGGGGTCGAATCAGAGAAGCACATAATCTGATACCACGGGAACCGGTAGCCCTCAGGGCAGAGTATTGGGGCTTTGTCTTGTCCCGGTTTTTTGAGAAGTCCCTTCGGAGTGCATGTGGTAGCTGTGGTTTAAACACAAATTCGCGGGAAGAGAATGTCGGTTGAAAGAAGTGTTTCGGTCTATCGAATACGTTTCTAGGTGCTGTTGCCGACTCAACAGAGGCCATCCCATCTACATGGTTGTAGACGGAAGTGTTGTTTATGCTTCTCGAAAGTTTAGCAATGGTCAGAGATTAAATAGCTCGAGTACTTGAGCAAAGTGTTTGTACATGGACCGGCGGAACCATGTACAAAAATTGCCACCAGCGTGTGAGATACACAAAGAGAGGTGAAGAAGCTCACCGTCTACCGTGAAATAAGGCCGACACTGTTCACTTCCACTTCATGTCCTTCTGATCGACACGATCTCAAACTGCAATGACAAGTATTTTTCTGATTTTATGATAGACAGAGATTCCAAATATCACCCCAACTTAGAGATCTATTATAATGATCTCCCAGTGTTCTCGATAACATCTTCAAAACACAATTGCCTTCCAGTTCTCTGACCCAACAGATAACACATCCATAACTAAAACAATAAACACACCACTTTTTTACTACATTTTAACAAGTTATTTTATTTAACATTTTTATTACGTTTTTTTTTTTCGCTATATATAATTTTACTAAATTAAATGAGAGAGAGAGAGAGAACTACAAATACAATGCATATGATGATTAAAGTTAAAGCAATTTATGTAATATTTAGTCAAAATCTTCATCAAAGTCAAAAATAGGTTCTGAATCATCCGAATTATGTTCTTCATGTTGTTGTTCTTCAGCTTCTAGTTCATCCCAAAAACTATTGCTACGTTTCTGTAGAGCAGATGCTTCTAGAGTTACCGTTGGAGCCTCCCAAAAGTTTTGCTCTTCATTTACAGAGTTTAAAGTTTCATGGGGCAAACTTTGAACATTATTAACAATTTTCTGTGGTGTTTCCTCCCAGAAGTTTTGTTCTTCGATTGCCGCCTCTTGAGGCTTATCCAAAAATTCATTGTGTTCACTTAAAGTTTTTAAAGTTTCCTCAGAATTCTCCCAATAACTTTGGGATTCATTTGTATGTTCATGGAAATTATTTTCCACTAAATGTTCGTTTATATTTTTCTCAGGATTTTCCAAAAATAATTGTGGTTCTGCTAGAGTATTAAGAGTTTCTTCGGAATTTTCCCAAAAAGTTTGTGGTTCATTTGGAGTATGATTTTCTGGACTAGCTAACTGCGTTTTATCTTCACCTACTGTTTTAAGAATTTCCTGAGGATTTTCCCAAAAACTTGTTTGGTCATGTCCAGGATTTATGTCCAATTTCTCTGCTGTTTGTTGTAAGAAAGGTATTTCTTCCTGAGGAATATTTGAGCCGATTACTTCCTGTGAATTACCCCAAAAATTAAACTCATTTGTATATGGCTTAATTAACGGTTCATGCGATTCTTGTTGTATCTGTTTTTGTCGTTGAGCTGCTAAAATATTTTGTAAATCTTGCTCGTAAGTATCTATTAAAGTTTCCAAAGGATTAATTTCTGCTGCGGCCAATTCTACATTTTTATAAGATACATGTTGTGGTACTTCCGGAGGCGTCACTGTAATAGTAGTAGATTTACCACTCGTTAATTGCCCCATCATGGTTTTATAGATTGCAGGATAATTCTTTTGAAAACTAGACTTAATACGCAACAAACGTTCCAACATTTCCGGATTTAAGGTATTACGTTTTTTAGAATTTTGTGTTGATCTTCTTAAATCTCTTTTATAGCGACCATTTTTTAGATACTGCTCAAATGTACCACCTCCAGTAAATAAAGGCTGATAGGGATCATATGCTTTATGACGCCAAGGATCATCTGGATGATCGACACTGTGTAAACCCATAAATGGTTGCAAAATATGTGGCTCAAAGCCGAAAATAGAACCAACATCGGGATCAGTATTATTTGAACTTTCTGGCGATGAAGACGTTGAGGGTGATAATGATGATGTTTTTACTGTTGTTGGTGATGATGATGTGGAGGAAGGTGATGACAATGATGACGATGCCTGTTTGCTAGCCATATGTATTTTATGAGATGTTGATGGTTGTTATAATCGAAAAATGAATCATGAAATATAAATTAAGAATAGAAAAATAAATGTCTTTTAAATGAGATGCCATGAATATTATACGACTTTAAATTGTATAGAAAAGTTTCGGTTGGTTTTAGAAGAGATTTCATTAGAAAAAGAATCTTTTGTATTTAGAGGTCCTCTTTCAAAGCTGAACTAGAACTAGAACTAGAACTGAACTAGAACTGAACTAGAACTGAACTAGAACTGAACTAGAACTGAACTAGAACTGAACTAGAACTGAACTAGAACTGAACTAGAACTGAACTAGAACTGAACTGAACTGAACTAGAACTGAACTAGAACTGAACTAGAACTGAACTAGAACTGAACTAGAACTGAACTAGAACTGAACTAGAACTGAACTAGAACTGAACTAGAACTGAACTAGAACTGAACTAGAACTGAACTAGAACTGAACTAGAACTGAACTAGAACTGAACTAGAACTGAACTAGAACTGAACTAGAACTGAACTAGAACTGAACTAGAACTGAACTAGAACTGAACTAGAACTGAACTAGAACTGAACTAGAACTGAACTAGAACTGAACTAGAACTGAACTAGAACTGAACTAGAACTAGAACTGAACTAGAACTGAACTAGAACTGAACTAGAACTGAACTAGAACTGAACTAGAACTGAACTAGAACTGAACTAGAACTGAACTAGAACTGAACTAGAACTGAACTAGAACTGAACTAGAACTGAACTAGAACTGAACTAGAACTGAACTAGAACTGAACTAGAACTGAACTAGAACTGAACTATGAACTAGAACTGAATTAGAACTGAACAAGAACTGAACTAGAACTGAACTAGAACTGAACTAGAACTGAACTAGAACTGAACTAGAACTGAACTAGAACTGAACTAGAACTGATCTAGAAATGAACTAGAAGTAAAAGTAAAACCTAATGAAATCTTATCTCCAAAACCTTAGACTATAAAACTAATTTATGAATTTCACACTAACTTTTATCACAGTCACGAAACAGTAATATAAATGCAAAATATAACATTCTTTTAGGGTTTTATTAAAACTCCTAAAATATTGTAAACCTTTACAAGAAAAAGGACACCTTTAAAGTAGGCAATTACTTTACAATCATACATTTTTATAATACGAAAGTGATAAATGTTATAGTGAAATGCACAAATGTTTATAGGAGAAATGAAATGTTATAAAAAAATATATAAAAATAAATTATAAATAAATTAAATATAAATATCACTATGTTAATATATAAAATCCTTCTGGGCTTCTGTAAAACAATTACTTTGCCGTTTGCACATTTATATTTGGGCGCGACGTAGAACTATTAACCAATTTACGACTTTTCGGCGAAAGTCTTGCTCTTCGGCGACTTAATTTTCTAGGGTTTTCTTTCGTAATGCCATTAGCTGATGCTGTAGAAGGAGTTGTCAAAGGTTTGCTTGTGCTAGATACTGGAGTTGGTGTTGTAGTGCTAATAACTTTAGTAGTATTGTTTAAATTTGTAGTTGCCTTGGAACTTTCTTCTTTACTAGATTCCTTTATTTTCTCCTTAGTATGTTTGCTAAGATCATGTAATATATCGAGGATTTCTTCTAATTTATCACTTTTATCTATAGTATTACCATTAGGAATCGTTTTTGTTATACTATTGGCGCTGCCTAATTTATTAATGTGTCTGTAATTGGCAAATTGTTTGCCCTGCTTTAGGACAAATGGTTTAGGATAGAATTTTTGTGGTCGAAATTGTCCTCTTAAAGCATAGACACTATGTGTGGTAGATTCTGCTGTTTCCATTGATTTGGTAGTATTCATAGTTTGTGGTTTTTCTTTTTTAACTGGAACTTTGGTTTTCTTTTCAGGATTATCTTTTTTAATTTCAGTTTCCTTTTTAGTATTTTTAGGGGATTTCTCAATTTTTGTTTCAGTTGTTGTCTGTTTTTCTGCTTCATTAACTACTTCCTCTACTTCTTCAGGTTGTGGCTCTGGCTCCGGCTCGGTTTCTACTTCATCTTCTTCCTCTTCCTCTACTTCTTCTTCCTCATCTTCCTCCTCTTCCAGTTTTTCTATACCATTTTCACTTTTTATTGGAGTTGCAGTTATTTCCGCCTCTGTTTTTGTTTCAACTTCTGTTTCGGGAACCGTAGTCTCCCTTTTATAGGATTGATTATTTTTATAAAATACTTTCTCTTCTTCGGGACCCTCATAGCCCTCTTCTTCGGCTATATGTAAATTAAGTTTACCATCTTTTAAATAATCTCTTTGATGTTGTTTGGTTAAATAACTTTTATCATAACCTTTCTCCGACATTTGTGTAAGCCATTGCTGGTATTCAAAATCTTCTTCTTTACTGGGTTTACGATAAGCCACTGTATGTGGCTTATCCCCATAAGGTTTGACATTTATTTCTAATATTTTTAGTTTATCGTTATTATCATAATGTTTTCGTTTCAGAGTCTCATCTAGACCCTTTAGAATATTTTCCTTACATTCATTACAACACTGGGTTAAACGCTCCTTAATGACTGCAATTAAATGATCAAAAGAAGAGGTTTCCTGAGATCTAATAGCCTTGTAATGATTTGTTAATTCCAGATGGGCTTGTTTAACAGGGTTGTATGAGGAAATGTGAACATTTTTATTGAGTTTATTAGAGAAAGGATAGTGAGTTTTTGACGAGGGCACTTCACTTGTATATTTGCCATAATGAGCGGATTTCGCTTTACCATAATCCGTTATATGTTGGTCACCGGATGTATAATAGTGTTGAACATTTTTGTTCAATATATTTGAGGACTTGGAGGCAGGCTTACTCACTTGGTTATACGCCAATTGAGGCTGGGTGTAAGAATTTTGATATACTACAGATTTAGCTGATTTCCCACTATGATTAATCATATTATGATTTGTATCCTGATATGCTTGATTGGTCATACTATAATCATCTATATAAGGCACTGATTCCAAGGAATTGTACATGGATAAAAAGGGATTTGGTGTTACAGGCATATTATTGTTGTTGTTATTGCTATATAAAGCGGGTGTATTATATTTAGAAATATAATTATTATAGAAACCTCCTTGATTGGCAGACTGCTGATCATAAGCCATCACTTGTGGATTGTAGGGCATGGCTAAAGATGGTGTTTGTGGTACAGACATTGGATAAGTTATATAAGGGCCATTACTCATTTGAGATGGTGTTGTCCCTGTTAGGGGCAAATATTGTTCATTATTATTTAAAGCATAACTTTGAGGTAGTTGTTGATGTAATGGCTGTTGCTGCTGCTGCTGTTCCACCTCATGTGTTATTTGACCCTGTTTAACCTCTTCATGTTCCCCTCCGGCTGATATTTCCATCGGTTGTTTATTGGCCTTGTGTAAAGCCTCTCTTATTGATTCGGCATTATAACGCATTAAAGCCTCAGCGGGTGTTTCATTAGGATTTAAGGTGATTTCTTTTAAAGAATTCTTATATGTTTTACGCAAAGCTTCTAAAGAATTTTCATCGATTGGTTCGAGAGTAGCATACTCGGTGGAACGTTTTCTACGCGTTTTACTACCTGACTTATTTGTATTGTTTTTTATAACTATTATATAGGCCGCAGGACCTGGATTTGTTTTTGTTTGAGTTTTCGCTAACCTTTTAAAGTGATTTTCTTCATTTGGATTTTCTGCATTGTTTATTTTTTCATTTTCCGTGGCTGTAGGGGTGGGGGTTGGTGTTGCATCTTCATGGGGCATCATCATTTTCTAAAAAACGTCACCTGTTATTGTGGATTGTGTTTAGCGGGAGATTTTGGGGAATTGTTGGGAATTTGGAAATCAAAAACACACAATATGGGGGAATGAAGAAAGAATAGAGAAAAATGCATATATGACCATGAATGAATTCGTTATAATTTACAGTGAACTGGATGCTGGCGTGAGTAAATGAGATGTGTGAGTGGGTGCGTACTTAATGGAGATTTCGAGCAATGCTTTAATTTAAGGAACGTATTCTCGGAACTGAAACTTGTCATGGTTCACTTAAACAAAACTAAAACTTAACATAGTTCACTTAAACAAAACTTTTACTTTTTTAATTAAAAACATTTTCACAAACATGTTTCAAAGGTAATCTAAAAGAACTTGAATATTTTTGAATGTTAATATCATAGTTGCACTACTTGTTTGTCTCCAGACCAAGAAGAGATCGAAACTATACATTGTCATGTTAAGAAATATTACATTTACGAAATTCAATTTTAATTTCATTTAAATTTTTATATAGACTCAAGCTGAAACACAATTATATCAAAACTTTGTCTAGAACTAAACGAGAATTGAACTAGAACTGTACTAGAACTGAACTAGAACATATCTAGAACCAAACTAGAACTGAACTAGAACTAAACGAGTATTGAAGTAGAACTGTACTAGAACTGAACTAGAACATATCTAGAACTAAACTAGAACTGAACTAGAACTGAACTAGAACTGAACTAGAACTGAACTAGAACTGAACTAGAACTGAACTAGAACTGAACTAGAACTGAACTAGAACTGAACTAGAACTGAACTAGAACTGAACTAGAACTGAACTAGAACTGAACTAGAACTGAACTAGAACTGAACTAGAACTAAACTAGAACTGAACTAGAAATGAACTAGAACTGAACTAGAACTGAACTAGAACTGAACTAGAACTGAACTAGAACTGAACTAGAACTGAACTAGAACTGAACTAGAACTGAACTAGAACTGAACTAGAACTGAACTAGAACTGAACTAGAACTGAACTAGAACTGAACTAGAACTGAACTAGAACTGAACTAGAACTGAACTAGAAACTGAACAGAACTGAACTAGAAATGAACTAGAACTGAACTAGACTGAACTAGAACTGAACTAGAACTGAACTAGAACTGACTAGAACTGAACAGAACTGAACTAAGAAACTGAACTAGAACTGAACTAGAACTGACTAGAACTGAACTAGAACTGAACTAGAACTGAACTAGAACTGAACTAGAACTGAACTAGAACTGAACTAGAACTGAACTAGAACTGAACTAGAACTGACTAGAACTGAAACTAGAACTGAACTAGAACTGAACTAGAACTGAACTAGAACTGAACTAGAACTGAACTAGAACTGAACTAGAACTGAACTAGAACTGAACTAGAACTGAACTATGAACTAGAAACTGAACTAGAACTGAACTAGAACTGAACTAGGACTGAACTAGAGAACTGAACTAGAACTGAACTAGAACTGAACTAGATGAACTAGAACTGAACTAGAACTGAACTAGAACTGAACTAGAACTGAACTAGAACTGAACTAGAACTGAACTAGAACTGAACTAGAACTGAACTAGAACTGAACTAGAACTGAACTAGAACTGAACTAGAACTGAACTAGAACTGAACTAGAACTGAACTGAACTGAACTAGAACTGAACTAGAACTGAACTAGAACTGAACTAGAACTGAACTAGAACTGAACTAGAACTGAACTAGAACTGAACTAGAACTGAACTAGAACTGAACTAGAACTGAACTAGAACTGAACTAGAACTGAACTAGAACTGAACTAGAACTGAACTAGAACTGAACTAGAACTGAACTAGAACTGAACTAGAACTGAACTAGAACTGAACTAGAACTGAACTAGAACTGAACTAGAACTGAACTAGAACTGAACTAGAACTGAACTAGAACTGAACTAGAACTGAACTAGAACTGAACTAGAACTGAACTAGAACTGAACTAGAACTGAACTAGAACTGAACTAGAACTGAACTAGAACTGAACTAGAACTGAACTAGAACTGAACTAGAACTGAACTAGAACTGAACTAGAACTGAACTAGAACTGAACTAGAACTGAACTAGAACTGAACTAGAACTGAACTAGAACTGAACTAGAACTGAACTAGAACTGAACTAGAACTGAACTAGAACTGAACTAGAACTGAACTAGAACTGAACTAGAACTGAACTAGAACTGAACTAGAAACTGAACTAGAACTGAACTAGAACTGAACTAGAACTGAACTAGAACTGAACTAGAACTGAACTACAACTGAACTAGAACTGAACTAGAACTGAAATAAAACTGAAATGCTTCAGAGTTTAGTCCTTTATATGCAAAATTTGAAGTCGTGACTTATCTTTTTTTGTTTAACTGCTTTCTTCAAAATTGGGAAGGTGTTAAAGACGTCCGATAATATTTTAGCAATTCAAATTTAAACAATTTTAAATGAAATTTATGAGATTTATAAATAATATCTATTTCGTGCTTTCTCGTGCCGTGTAGAAATGAAATGCTTGGATGAGTGTGTCGGTTAAGTGTGCTGGATTAAACATAAAACTAAAATCTTTGTAATTCTTCAACTTACCGGCATAGGTTGATTTTGCTGTAACATAGCAGCAATTTCTTCATCCCCTGTAGCAGAACGATAACCACCGTATGAACCATAAGCATTCGAGCCATAAGCACCACCACCATATGGACCAGCAGCTGGTTTATATTGTGGAGCAACGGGATATTTTGGTGCCGGTGGTGGTGGAGCAGCATAACCGCCAGCAGGACCATAACTTTGTGGTGCTTGTGGAGGTGGTGGTGGGGGTCTAGGATAGCCGCCGCCATAACTTGCTGGTGCAGCTGCCGGTGGAGGAGGTCCTGGTGCATAGATGGGAGGATAACGGCTACCACCTGTATTATAGTAGTAGTTTATAATTGTAGGTGGTGCTGCTTTGCCGGCTTCTTTGCCCTTGTGTTTGCCATGATCAAAAACATCCAGCTCATCGAACAAATCTTCCATACCTGAACGTGTTTTTTGATGAAAAGAATCTGTGTTAAAATGATTGAAATTATGGCGGAATACACCAAAAAGATTACCTTTATGACGGGCCTTGCCAGCATTTTCTGCCATCTGCGGTTTAGCCTCACCCACTACGGGCATGTTGTCCATTCGTTCATTGTTGCGTGGCATGTTTGCATTTGTCTTCGTAGCCGTTTGTTCGGTTGTTTTTGTATCAATCCATTGTCTCTGTTCCGGCTGTTGTTCGGTTTTCTTTGCATCAGACGACTTTTGTTGTTCAGGCATTTTTGTGTCGGCAGCTAGTCTTTGTTCTGGCTGTTGTTCAGTTTTTATGGCACCTTTAGTCTCTGGTATATTTGCATCCGCCCATTGTCTCTGCATTGGCTGCATGTTGGGGTCAGTAAATTGTGTTTGCATCATGGGTTGCTGCTGCTGCATATTTGTTGGATTCACCCATTGTCTTTGCATGGTCATTTGGGGTGGCATTTCAAAATTGGTCATCATGGGTTGTGGCATCATTTGTCTTTGCAGGTCTTGCTGTTGCCATTGCATATTTGGATCGAACATTTGGTTTTGGATGGGCATCGGTTGTTGCATTTGCGGTGGCAACATTTGTCTTTGCAAAGGCATTTGTGGTGGTAACATTTGACGCTGCATGTTCATTTGCGGTTGCATTGTATTTGGATTGGCCCATTGGCGTTCGATGGGTTGTTGTTGTGGAAACTGTTGCGTAGTGGGATCAGCCCATTGCCGGGCCTGGTTTTGTGCCACTTTCTGCTTTCTTTCTTCAGCCATTTGCCGTTGTTTATCTTCTAACCATTGCCGTTCGGCAGTCATTGGCGTATTACCCTCTGTGGCTTGTCTTTGTTGACTGTTCATTGCTGTAATCTTGTCGTTCTTAAGCCAAGGCATTTCATGACCATGCATGGCTGCCATGCGATAAGCATAAGTCATCATTTTCATCATATCATCCTTTTCCATGGACTTGAGTGCATCTTCAGCAGTTTTCGTCTGACGTTTAATAGGTGTACCCGTTAAATCGGTCAGATACTTAGTGGTGGCTTGGTGATGTCTGTGAAATTGTTTATTTTGATTCTGTACAATCGTATGCATTAATACGATGACATGTTCATCCTTCAAAGTCTTTTCAATGTCGCCCAAAGTGATTTCATAAATGGGTATTTCATACAGATTAAGCTTGGTGGTCAACGAGGCGGTGGGTTCTGCGCCACTCTGTAGTTGTGCTCTTTTCACTTCATTAGCCAATTTGGAGAGTTCTTGTAGCTGTTTCAATTCGGCAATAACTTGTTTCTCGAAAATTTCCAACTTTGCTTCCATTTCTAAATCTTCGGTGCTTTTTTGCAGATGATGATTGGCAGGCAAATGGAACCATAGAATGGGTATGGTTTTCTTGTTCAAAGCATCTCTAAGTACAGCTTTCAGTTTCATTTCAGCCATTGTTTGATGATCCACAGGTTTGGGTGAAAGTTTATAGGGTGAATATTGATCAGGCATTACTCTTACTTCAGAGATTTCTGAGCCTAAGGGCATGAAAGAACTCAAACCAGAGAGAGGACCAAGTAAGCCTAGAGGTAATTGAGGCAATGGAGGTAATTGAGATAATTGGGGTAGTTGAGATAACTGAGGCAATTGAGGCAGAGCGCTGCCAACAATTTGTTCAAAAGGATTTTTGGGTGGTTCAGGAGCGGCTGGTGCTTCTGCTGCTGGCTCTGGTTCCGGCTCAGGTTCAGGCTCTGGTTCTGCTTCAGCAGCAGCACCCACCTCTGGATCAGCTTCCGCACCAGCATCTGCTGCAGCAGCACCCGCATCCTCAGGAGCAGCCTGGGCAGCGCCAGCCGGATTTAATAGATTCTGTGCCGCCCCCAATATAAACGATTGACTCAAACTTTGTCCCAGTTGACCGAAATCTAAAGATTGTGTCAATTGACTTAGATCCAAATTACCCGGCGCAGCTTGCGCTAAAATATTTGTCTGCGATAGAGCTTCATTTAAAGCTTGACCAAAAGATCGAGACATATCGGGAGCCGTTTGACTGACTTGCTGCAGTATTTGTTGTGTCATACCACCACCCATTTGCTGGAATTGTCCTACAATATCGTCCATAACATCGGGATTACGTGTCAAACGTTTCAATGATTCCTCAGCGGGTTTTGTCAGTTCAGCCAATTTATTTTTATCATTATTTAAAACCAATAACACATTATTGGTGGCGGAAGATGCTTGGCCATCAAAAGGATTTCCCACAAGCGGAGCTTTAATTATTGTTTAAACGAAAAACAATTGTATATTATAGCAAAGAAGGCAAATAGACATACACTCATACCTGTAAGAAGTCCGCGTGGTAATTGGAAACCTGTAGTACGTTCTATATTCCTACTTAAGTTGGGTATGAACGATTGTCTTAATAGCTAAGGAAATAAACAGGAAATCGTTAAAGAATTGTTTAATTCCTTCTTATTGCACAGAAACTTTATCTAATCATCAGCTAATTCTGAGCTCTTTTCAGAAACCCAAAACTTTAAACTGATTCTTTAAATTTAACCTAAGAGAGGGTGCAGAAGGTACCAAATGCTACTTACTTTTCCAGTAGGCTGAGCAGCAGATACCTTTTTCTCCACAGTCGCCACATCATTATTCTCAATAGTCTGTTCCGAAGGCACCAATTCATCTTCATTGTGAAGATTAAACGCATGATCATCTTCGGCAGCAATAAAGTAGTTTGGAAGTAAAACCACCACAATTAAACACAATTTGAAATGAAACTAAACGCCCAGAAAACACAGAGAAATTTATCAACATTTTCGAAAATGTATATACGTCAAAAATCCCAACATACCCAATTCATATTTAACACATTAATTTACAGTTAAGGATATTTTAAAGGATTTTACTTTTGTATTTAATTTAAATTTGTCTTAATCCTTTTCTTGCGCTGCTTCACTTCACTTCCTTTTTGTTAAACACACTATTTCACTCACTTAATAAGAAACGTAAAGATAACCGTTATATTTTACGCGATGTGCGTTTAAACGTTATTAATTTAAAACTGATCTTTAGTTAGTGTTTAAACCGTTTAATATAAACTTACTTTAAAGCAGACTTTTGCCAACGTAGTTAAAAAATTATTCACTATTTTCTTTTTTTTTTTGCTTTTAAATATTTAACCTAAATTTTAGTTTGTAAAAAAATGTGTCTTTAAAGCAGTTTTTTGTCACAATTTTTAAGTTTTTTTTTTTTAAACTACTAGTAAATGTTCTACTACACTTTTTTTTCATGGCTCGTCTTTGGTGTAGGGGGAAAAATCTATTGAAATTTAATACATAATCTAAGATCACGCATTAATTATTCGAGACATGTTTAAGTGCATGGTCATATTGCAGAATGTGGTATTTTTAAAAAAATTGTTTTCTTTTTTTTTTGTCATTCGTTTTTCCAAGAAATAAGATTTTTTGTGAATTCAGCATAATTTTTAAGAAAAATATTATACAAGAATATGAGCAGTTTAAAAAGTACACGTTAAAGATATTCGAGATAAAAAGTGTTTGGTAAAAGTTTTAAGTTTTGACCCAGAGACCAATTCATATACTGTGTAAAACCCTCGAATTTCGCCATATTTAAGGAATTATAACAGAGTGAAGTCAGCTTTATTTATAAAAATTGTTATGCCGTCCGAATTTCCTATCTATGGACATCGGAATTAAGGCTACAACTTTGATATATATTAACCTAACACTTCTGATTCTGTCCCATGTTTAGACTCGGATTCAGCTTCAATGGCAGCACCAACAACTACTTTCAGTTTTATTATTCCCTTCAGAAGTTGCCTGAAATGGCTGCCTAAATTGAAAAAAAACATGGACCATGGTTCTGCATACTGTACTTGAACAAGCCTCACCAATGCCAGGCCAATTAGGGAGCAACAAAGTGGTCCGAATGTTTTGACTGAGTCAAATTGACTATTCAGGGGTTGTAATAGAAAACAGCAGCAATAAAATGATTCACTCAGAGCTTAGATTGCATTTTGATAAACAATAGTCGAAGTTCTATTTCAGTCCAACTACTGGGGTCCTTAAAGCAAAAATCAGCATCATGCAGAAATATAGCGCCTGAAGTAAATATAAAGGAATCGCATTCAACAACCACAAAACTTTGAAATATTTATAGTCCTCTTGATCTTAACAAATGTGACTAGTTGTATTCCGTCATTATCCAATAGGCCATTAAATGACCTGGGCAGATCAGAAAACTTTGCTAATTGGAAAACTGAGTAAAAAATGCACCTTCTGTATTGGTATGAAACTAATTATCTATCCATAATAGTTTGTTCAGATCGACCAACAGATTTCATCGTGTCATCCGTAGGCTCAAACTCTTAACTTCAGAGATTAGAATTTCAAACCTTTCTTATCCAATAATGCAAAATATCTATATTTTATCCCAGACTCCAAATTAACATAGAAACTAATGTTGTATGTTCAGAATCCAAAATTTTCTTCTTCGTAATAGTTTGTTCGGATCGACCAACTGATTTCATCGTGTCATCCGAAGTAGGCTCAAACTCATAACGCAAGAGACTAGGACTTCAAACCATCCAACAATGAGAAATATCTCTATATTATCCTGGGCTCCATCATGGAAACTGACGTGGGATGTTAATAATGCATGGAATAGAAATTTCTTAACGTCTTCCGATTAACTGTAGCGTTCATCATTACATCTTATTAGTATCTTATAAGATTCGTATATTGGATCATTTATGAATAGCCTGGTGGTGCTTCTCCCATTTAATTTAAAACTAAACTACAACATCTTCATTGGTCAGCCTGTGTAAGAAAGAGCTGTCAAGAGCGGGTCTGGCTTCTGCCTTGCTGAAGACATTTATTTACTTCAATTTGTGATTGGTCCATTTACATTTATTTCCTCTAAAAATTGATATCGGTGCCGATCAAAACGAGGCATCAAGTATGATCTCTCTACTGATTACCATACATATTTATATTTTCGATAACTTGCTTGATGTTAGATGCAAATTGGAAATACATTATGTAAATCGAAGTGTATACTTTCTATTTTTCTGATCAGAGTTCTCATATTGTGATCGGTAAATTTCTGATTATTTTTTATCATAATCATCTGTGAGTTCTTCAACTTCAACTAGATTATGTAGTACTGTCACTCCAGCTCACTTAGGTCCATTCAATTACTGAACCCATTAGACGTTACTGATTTCTTTCAAATTAATCACCCGGTTTCTTTGACAAAGTTAATAATATGCTTAAGCTTTACTCTAGATAGTACCTCCATACCCGAAAAAAGGGTGCCAAAGTGAAGTCTTTTCTACCTCTTACCACTCTTAATTATGACATCTTCTGCACTAGTTGGTAAATGGCTAGTGATTGCCTAATTTGACCAAGTAAATAACATGGAGGCCAAGGTAACCTGTCAAACTTTTTGGATATGTGATTACATTTAACCTCCCGTGTTGAGTTTCTCTATATAGTTCATGCTGTGGAAGCTATTCATTAAATATACCCAGCCACTGCGACCAGAGTTATCATAGAACATATAATTTAGATATGTGAATGTATGCGTCATCTTCTGCTTCGAAAACATTAGCCTGCTCGGAAATAAATCACCGCGATACTCTTCTTTAGCGTTCCATGAAAGGAACAATGTCCAATTTCTAATCTTACTTAGACGAAAGTTTGCCAAAGAGAGTGAAAGCGTTTTACTGTCACCTCCACTTACTCTCATTCGTCTGAATCCGTTCGTCCAATTTTTTGTAGTTGTGCCCGTAAATCTGTATGTCCACTAGGAATACGTACCATTATATTTACCTCGGACTTATTCACCATTATATTTACATCGGAGGCTTATCGCCTTCCTCTCAATAGCTTCAACTTATAGGATATTAGTGGCCTTACCCACCGTTCTATTATACCAAGTGGTCGCGTGGGGTTTTATCGTTTATTTAGGCTGAATTCCTCAAACTTCCTTTTATAGCACGCTCATTCGCTCACCGATTATCCACGAATGACCTGGTACCCATATTATAACGAGTTTACCACTAGAAAAGTAATCGGTTATGGATCTCTTAAAGGCCAATATGGTCTTAAATTTAACCTTATGTGCTGATATCGCGCTAATTACCTGACTGTCGTAAAACAAGACCTACCTATTCAATCTAAATCATTTTACACATCCCATAGCACAGACTTTCCCCTGAAAGTTTCGCTGTTGTTGGAACTTGCTGAATTGACAATATTTGACCGATTGGAAATCGGGTCGTTCCGTATCCAACTGGTGTTGTGATTAAGAAGACGGTTGCTGGAACTTGCTGAATTATCATTGATAATCGGGTCGTTACAAAGCAATTGTAGTAGGAACCAGAATGACGGTAATATATCACAGTTTCTCGGTTTTCAATGTTGATCTTCAGATCTCATAGCTGTCAACAATTTATGTTTCCGGTATGAGATCTGGGACGATTGGTGTTGTGTATATGTATGTCCAATATGTCTAGTATAGTCAATTCGTCTACAGATAGGAGCCGCTCGGCTGTTACTTTCCGGAGATATGATTGACGTAGCATTCAGGGCAGTTAGCAGATTAGCAGTTAATAGTCTAGCAGATTACAGAAGTTTGAATTAGACAGAACCGTTCTCATATCAAATAAACCAACCACTATAAGAGTAACAAAAATACAGTAATTTTTATCACACAGATTTTAACTAAACCCTTGATCTCAATCTAAAGAACTTAAAACACATTAAATTAAAGTAAATGAACATTTTATTCTTCATCTTATTAAGCTGAATTTTAATCCATATTGTGAAGCCCAATTAAGTCCAAATTGGCAACGAAACAAAGCAATTTAATTTAGTTAAATCGGCTCCAATTAATCTCAAACTATTTTAACCATTGCATGCAATTAGAATTATTTCAATTTTACAATTGTTTCCTAAAAATCTTCATGCATAAATCAAAATGACATGTGCCCAAGGGCACTTTTTATTGACATATTGACTTTTTTGTTCAATCATAATATACTCAATATATATATTTTTTTAACAGTGTATATAGAAAGAGTCCAAACGGCCAACTTAAAAAAAACTATATCTGTGCAAAACTGACTTTCGCCCATCTGTATTTAGAACGCTATAAAATGCAACAATCAGCAGTCAACCTTAATTTGGGCAAAACTACAATAAATCAAAAAAAAATGTAAACATTTCACCAACACAAAAATATGCTGAATTGTAACTTTGTAGAATAAAATGCAGAATATAAAAAGAAAAGCAAGAATTTAACTTTTTTTGCAAACCAAAAAAAAAAAAAAAATATGAGAACACAGGTCAAGTCTATGAGAGTTTTACTATATACACAACAAACTTAAATTGTATGATTAATTTTATATGAATATTCAAATATAAAAGAAAAACAAGTTGTTGTTTTTTAGGTTTTTTAAACAAACTTTAAAAAAATGTCGCTTTATTCAAATGCATTATATTTTAAGTATAACAAAAAGAAAATAGTTACTTTTAGTTCACAAAAATTCTCATTTAAATATGATTAAAAGAAGAAATAGTAACTGCTACTACTATGACTTCTTTTTTTGTTAATTTAATTTAAAAGTAAATATATATTAAAATAATAAATAAGAAAAAAATAAACAGGAAATAAGTTATTTCATTTTAAAGTAACGTACCAGCACGTTATACATTGAAATTAGTTTACTTTTTCCATTAAATTAAAAGTAATACTTAGATATATTTTTAGTTATAAAAATGAAATTATTATTTAATTCATTGAAACTTAAAACTTTTTATTCATTTTGTTGAATCCACAGAATTTTTCAAATTTGTAGATTAAATTACATCAGCATCAGCATCTGAAATGAAATTGAATTCATATTTCTTTTACGGCAGTTTTAAACTTGTAAGGCTCACAATATTTTCACATAAACACACACACATAGACAAGAGAAAGTTAAATTTCTTTTTTTTTTGGAATTTTTAGTAGATTTTTTCGAAATAAATTTTTTTTAGTTTTTTTTTATACTTTTTTCATGATAGTTCACTTAATCACTTAATAAATTCTGTAATTCATAAATCCTTAAAACTCCATGTTTTATCAGCAAATTATTGTCCAATGTCATCGCTTTTATTATTAGTAGAATCATTGTCAATACTCTTCTCTCCCAAAATCCTTTATAGTTTATAAACATTATTTATGTCGAATGGATATATTGTAAAACTCCATGAAACTACTGTTCAATGTCATAGTTTTCATTGCCAACAAATCTGGCCTCAGAATGTATATATCTTATAAGGCTTTCGAGATATTAGAGTCCTACAATTTGAAAGATCCCTGTATTTGTCCTTATTTGAAACGTTATAACTGCTCGAAGATATATTTGTTTGTAAGAACTGTTATGTCATTTTGAAGTCCAACATGTCGACTTTATATTTGCTTCCATCTTTAGTATGTCTTAATCTAAAGTTTGACACAAATTTACCGCAGATAAAACCTTTTATCTCCAATGTATTCAATGATTAGCCTCCAGAAAGTAAGAATTGTAGAGTTATGTCCATATCGTCACTAATCTGTTGGAGATTGTATAACCAAATTTACTTGTTCTTCAATTTGTTAGGTATGTATTTTAATTTATTCTTTCTTGTCCAGTATCTCCCCTCTCCAAATCCTGTTTTAGTTAACTATTTAATACTTAAACTGTCGTCCTTTTCAACGTTATAACATATTTCTTCATGGAATATGTTTGATGAAGGCTTCAATAGGTCATCTTGATATCCCTAAGCGTAGAGTGGTCAGAACTTGAATACATATAAATATTTAATTTCCTCCTCTGTCGCGTCTCAAATCTGCTATTCTTCCTTTTTAGCTTTTATTTGATTGAACAAATCATATCGCTCCCTCTCTATCAAGCGAAAGTTCTTTTCTTCGAAAGAGAACTATGGGAATTGTAAAAGTGAATAGCACTTTCCAAAAATTTAAGTTGTTAGTAGTTAGTGATCTAGCCAGTCAGACTGGAGGTTGTGGGTTCGATTCCCCCAGAGACATAGGCAAGGCTTACATCCACCTTGCACTAACTAACTAACTAACTAACTAACTAACTAACTACTACTAACTAACTAACTAACTAACTAACTACTAACTAACTACTAACTAACTAACTAACTAACTAACTACTAACTAACTAACTAACTAACTAACTAACTAACTAACTAACTAACTAACTAACTACTACTAACTAACTACTAACTAACTAACTAACTAACTAACTAACTAACTACTAACTAACTAACTAACTAACTAACTAACTAACTAACTACTAACTAACTAACTAACTACTAACTAACTAACTAACTAACTAACTAACTAACTAACTAACTAACTAACTAACTAACTAACTAACTAACTAACTAACTAACTAACTAACTAACTAACTAACTAACTAACTAACTAACTAACTAACTAACTAACTAACTAACTAACTAACTAACTAACTAACTAACTAACTAACTAACTAACTAACTAACTAACTAACTAACTAACTAACTAACTAACTAACTACTAACTAACTAACTAACTAACTAACTAACTAACTAACTAACTAACTAACTAACTAACTAACTAACTAACTAACTACTAACTAACTAACTAACTAACTAACTAACTAACTAACTAACTAACTAACTAACTAACTAACTAACTAACTAACTAACTAACTAACTAACTAACTAACTAACTAACTAACTAACTAACTAACTAACTAACTAACTAACTAACTAACTAACTAACTAACTAACTAACTAACTAACTAACTAACTAACTAACTAACTAACTAACTAACTAACTAACTAACTAACTAACTAACTACTAACTAACTAACTAACTAACTAACTAACTAACTAACTAACTAACTAACTAACTAACTAACTAACTAACTAACTACTAACTAACTAACTAACTAACTAACTAACTAACTAACTAACTAACTAACTACTAACTAACTAACTAACTAACTAACTAACTAACTAACTACTAACTAACTAACTACTAACTAACTAACTAACTAACTAACTTACTTACTTACTAACTAACTAACAAACTAACTAACTAACCAAACAACCACTTCTATTATTTTTTCTAAAATCGGTCACCCTATCACGTTATCGAATTAATATACATACGTTGAACGGTTCCGAAACTAACTAACTAACTAACTAACTAACTAACTACTAACTAACTAACTAACTACTAACTACTAACTAACTAACTAACTACTAACTAACTAACTAACTAACTAACTAACTACTAACTAACTAACTAACTAACTACTAACTAACTAACTAACTAACTACTACTAACTAACTAACTAACTAACTAACTAACTAACTAACTAACTAACTAACTAACTAACTAACTACTAACTAACTAACTACACTAACTACTAACTAACTACTAACTAACTAACTAACTAACTAACTAACTAACTAACTAACTAACTAACTAACTAACTAACTAACTAACTAACTAACTAACTAACTAACTAACTAACTAACTAACTAACTAACTAACTAACTAACTAACTAACTAACTAACTAACTAACTAACTAACTAACTAACTAACTAACTAACTAACTAACTAACTACTAACTAACTAACTAACTAAGTAACTAACTAACTAACTAACTAACTAACTAACTAACTAACTAACTACTAACTAACTAACTAACTAACTAACTACTAACTACTAACTAACTAACTAACTAACTAACTAACTAACTAACTACCTAACTAACTAACTAACTAACTAACTAACTAACTAACTAACTAACTTACTTACTACTAACTAACTAACAAACTAACTAACTAACCAAACAACCACTTCTATTATTTTTTCTAAAATCGGTCACCCTATCACGTTATCGAATCAATATACATACGTTGAACGGTTCCGAAACCAGTTCAAAACTGTTATTTTCGATATCATTACGAAGACGATAAGCATAGTTTTACAGAACGTTCCTTGCACCAAATTCATTAATTATTTTTGCACAAGAAGAACAACATTATTTTATTGAAATTTCCCAAAAATCTCCAAAATCTTGAGTGGAAGCTGAGACCTTCACAGGTCTCATAGTGTAATTTAAGAAATGTCTTTGTTTTCTATATATTCTCTAATCTTATAGTCTAATGGATAATATAACAATTATAGTTCTTGCCTTAGCTAACAAATAACTATACCCTTCACCTTCATGCCTTTCTTGTTGTTTGTTTTGTTTTACTATTGCTAATGTCGGGAAAAATTAAATAAATTGAAATTTTATAAAATTAAACTTTTTATAACACACTATGGTGAAGGGTATATATGATTCGGCAAAGGCGACTACAGACTTCTTACTTGTTGTTTGTAGATAAGTTTTCAATAAACAAAAGTGCCAATATTGTGAGCATATTTTTTAAATCAATATATTTATATGTATGTACTTACCAAATAATCAGTTATCAGAATCCCAACATTCTTCATCAGTTGAAGACTTTTTAGCTACAGGAGGTGGTGAAGACTTAGTAGCTGCTGTTGCTGGACGAGGCGAACCCGATTGAAAAGATGAAATGGGTGATGAAGAACGAGGAGGTGAATTATTATTTTGAAATTTATTAAAACGATTTTCATTGTTGTCCGCGGCGGAAGATGAAGACCAAGAAGAGCTAGCATTATTATCGTAATTGTTATCCTTGTTCTTGAAATTATTAAAACGACGATTGTTATTAAAACCACCACGTCCTCCACGACCACCGCCACCATAACTACTACCACTATCAAAACCACCTCCTCCTCTTCCTCTTGGAGAATTGGGTGGCGAAGAGTTGGATTTTGAAGGAGAACTTAAACCAGGTTTATTAAAACGAGGATTATTGCTATAAGATGAACGTTGATTGGAACGTGGTTGATAGCTGTTACTGCCGTTATTGTTGTTATAATTGTTATCATAGGGTTTCTTAAATTGATTGCCAAAGCGTCTATTATTGTTATTATTATTTTGATTATAATGACTATTTTGGTTGTTGTTGCCACCGCTGCCATTGTCACAGCAACTGTTAGTGTTATTACAACATCTATTACAATTACTACTAACACTACTATTAGTATTATTATTATTATTGTGGTCATCATGATGACCATGCTGACTTGTTACACCACATTCATCCGAATGTTTTTGTATTGGCGGTTCTGGTGCTTTAATATAACAACTAACAAATGGTTCATTGACATTAAGCGAACCAACTGCAGCAGCACCACCTGCCGCATTATAGGTCGATGATGCAGTTGTCATCGAAGTGCAATGGGTATTGGGTGTTAGGACCTGCTGTATAAAACTATATGTGGCATTAACTGGCATCGTATTACAACAAGAACGGCCGCCAAAAGAAGGAACATGTCGCTGTTCATTGATAATGCCATTTGCATCTACAAATATACCCAAATTACGCATAATCTCCAAAAGTTCACCGGCACAATCAATTTTGAATACGTCGAATACCATTTCAGGATTTAAGAGACGTTCACGATGAAAGTTATTTAAGGCACGTACCAGTTGTGATATTGATTGATTTATTTGAATTTTCATGGTAGACATCAGGCTCTGATACCATGGCGAACGTTGTAGGCAACCATAAAGGAACATATTTGGAGTTTGTTGCTGTTGAGGCTGTAAGATTGGTTGTGCTGTGCTGTGGTATTGCAGAGCCAAAGGAACGGCATTCGGTATGTCTGTGTTCATATAAGGCGATGATGTTAATGATGCTGATGGCGAAGTTGCCGCAACCACATTCATATTATTGTAAGGAGTTAGTGCAGTTTGTGGCGTCATTATTGGCGTTGCTATGTCTGTCATTAGGGCAGGTGTACGATTTCTTGGGTCATAAGGTGAAACCATTGTTGTGTTTGTTGGTTGCGCAAAATTTACTGATGCACCACCACCGTGTGATAAATTCGAGGTATTGCTTGTTGTTAAAGACACCAAAGCATTCGATGTTTTTCCAGTTGGTTTACACAAAGTCATTAATTGTTTCTGAAATACATGTTGGAGTATATTTTATAATTACGTTCAGTTGAGTTGTGTTATTGTTTAATACTTTAATGAATGAGGGATTATTTTACCTTCACATGAGTTCTAAATATTCTGGGATCTAATTGTAAAGTTTTCTTAAGTTTATCAATGCAAATTGGTTTGTTTATGTCAACTCTTCCCAAATCAATTTCATGTAACTGAAAAAATATTTGTTAAAAACAAGGAACATTTTAGTAGGTTTTTTGAAAATTATATAAATTTAACATACGGATTCAAAGATTTTTCGGTGAATAAATAAATCTTTTCAGAACATTTTTTTTAAAATTTCACTTTTTTGTAGAAAATTTTTCGAAAATTTCTCTTTTTTTATAGAAAATTAATTTTTTTTTTAATTTAAATTTTTTTAAAATTTAAGTTTTTAGAAATCTTTTTATAAAGAATTTTGTCTTTTTATAGAAAGCGTTCGAAAATTTATAATTTTTAGAAACCTTTTGAAATTCTCGTCTTATAGAAAATTTTCGAAAATTTAGCTTTTGAAAATGTACTTTTATAAAAAGTTTTTGAAAATTTTACTTTTTATAAAAAGTTTTTGAACATTTTTCTTTTATAAAAAGCTTTTGATAATTTATATTTTTATAAATTTATTTTAACAGAATTTTTCTTTTAAAAAAGCTTTCGAAAACTTCTCTTTCTAGACAGACTTTTCTGAAAAGTTTTCTTTCTAAAGAAAACTTTTGAAATGTTCTCTTTTTTATAGAAAACTTTTTGAAAACTTCTCTTTTTATAGAAAGCTATCGAAAATTTACAATTTTTAGAAAACTTTCGAATTTCTCGTTTTTATATTAAATCTTCGAAAATTTGTCTTTTTATAGAAAATTTTGGAAATTTTATTTTTTAAAAAGCTTTTGAAAATTTATTTTTTATAAAAAACTTTTGAATATTTATATTTTTGCAGAAAGCTTTCGAAAATTTGTAAAAAGCTTTTGAAAATTTACCTTTTTTCTAAAAAGCATTTGAAAATTTATGTTTTTATAAAAAGGTTTTGAAAATGTATCTTGTAAAAAGCTTTTGAAAATTTAAATTTTTTCTAAAAAGCATTTGAAAATTTATGTTTTTATAAAAAGCTTTTGAAAATGTATCTTTTTATAAAAAGCTTTCGAATTTCTCGTTTTTTATAGACAAATTTCGAAAAATTATTTTTTAAAAAGCTTTTAAAAATTATTTTTTTATAAAAAGCTATTCAATTTTTATATTTTTAATAAAGCTTTTGAATATTTATATTTTTTGTAGAAAGCTTTTGATTCGATTCGATTTCGATTTATCTTTTTATAAAAAAACTTTTAAAAATTTATCTTTTTATAAAAAGCTTTTGAAAATTTATATTTTTATAAAAAAACTTTTGAAAATTTATCTTTTTATAAAAACCTTTTAAAATGCATCTTTTTTAAAAAACTTTTGAGTATTTATTTTTTTATTAAAATCTTTTAAAAATGTATACAAATCTTTTGAAATTTTATAATATTGAACATGTTTCTATTTAAAGAAAGCTTTTGAAAATGGGTATTTATATAAAGCTGTAGAAAAAGTATATTTTTTATAGAAAGCTTTTGAAAATTTCTCTTTTTATATAGAAAGCTTTCGAAAATGTCTTTCAAAAATGTTTCTTTTTATAGAAAGCCTTTAAATATAGCTTTTTTATAGAGGGCTTTAGAAAATTTATATTTTTTTTAGAAAGCTCTATCCGATCATTAATATTTATGAAAAATTTTCAATTGTCCAATATAAATTTAAAATAAAATATATCACAATTCTTTTTAAAAATGAATATATGTAATATAAATCAATTTACTTACAATATAAGGAATTGGTGGATATGTTAAACGGCCATCGATTTCGCCACCCAAACGAAATTCAAAAGATCTCCTGACTGGCGATGGACTGGCAATAGTATCATCGCCATAAGTTGGCGACGATATCGGTGTTATATTCACAGAAGAATTTTCAAAATTTATTTGACATTTTGTTGAATGTGCCGATAACTTATTATACAATGAAGAATAAGTTGAATATTCAACATTTTCCTTCATCTCCACTGAAAAATTTTCTAAAGAAATAAAAAAAGGAATAACAAAACATAATTTAAAATGCATTAAGGTTCAACATGCACAATAGTAAACTATAAAAGTAACATCTTAAATTTTATAAAAATTGCTATTTATCACGTTTTATAGCCTCTTAATTATAAGCAATTGTTCTATATTTTCATCTTTCGAAGAAAGAAATTGAAAAATGTTTAGAAAAAATACTATAATTTACCCTTAGAATATTTATCACTTGCATTTGAAGTTGGCTTTTCAGGCTCATCAATAGGTTTAAAGGGCGAAGAATGTTGTGTTTGTCCGTCGCTTTCGTTATTACCATATGGATTACGAGCCATTGCAATTTGTGCTTCCTCTTTTAACTTATTTTCAGATTGTTTTTGTTGCAACAACTGCTCTTCCTTTTCCACCAACACCGGGACATTCCCCTGCTGGTATTGTTTATGTGGCAAATTATTGCTATTTTCACTGATGAAACTGGTGGTGGCTGTTGTAATTTTTTCAACTTCTTTTTGTTGCTTCTCCTGCTGCTGTTGTATTTGTAGCTGTAAATCCGATTTATTGCTTACATTTTCAATTTGTTGACGTAAATCGGATTCATTTTCCTGTTGTTGTTGCTCCTGTTCTTTATGCACATGCTGATGATGAGAATGATGTGTTACTACTACTGTATGGGTTGTAGTAGCAGGCTCAATGGCTTGTTTTCGTTCATTGCCAGTTGGCGTTGATGTTTGCAATGTATCGACTATAGTTAGCTTTTCATCACTTGAATCAGTATCGAAATCTAAATAATATTGTAAATACAGACACATACATGTATTTATATAAATGCTTTAAACATGTATTTTTTATAGAAATTCAATAGAAAATAAAAATAAATATTAAGTGAAGCTTTTACATCTCTTTTCAATGATTTTTATTTTAGGATAACATATTTAATACTTGGTTTAATATTAATGAAAGGGTGACTAGAGTTAAAATACAGTAAGAAATTTTAAAGTTCCATTCTAGTTCAATTCTAGTTCAGTTCTGGTTCAGTTCTGGTTCAGTTCTAGTTCAGTTCTAGTTCAGTTCTAGTTCAGTTCTAGTTCTAGTTCAGTTCTAGTTCAGTTCTAGTTCAGTTCTAGTTCAGTTCTAGTTCAGTTCTAGTTCTAGTTCAGTTCTAGTTCAGTTCTAGTTCAGTTCTAGTTCAGTTCTAGTTCAGTTCTAGTTCAGTTCTAGTTCAGTTCTAGTTCAGTTCTAGTTCAGTTCTAGTTCAGTTCTAGTTCAGTTCTAGTTCAGTTCTAGTTCAGTTCTAGTTCAGTTCTAGTTCAGTTCTAGTTCAGTTCTAGTTCAGTTCTAGTTCAGTTCTAGTTCAGTTCTAGTTCAGTTCTAGTTCAGTTCTAGTTCAGTTCTAGTTCAGTTCTAGTTCAGTTCTAGTTCAGTTCTAGTTCAGTTCTAGTTCAGTTCTAGTTCAGTTCTAGTTCAGTTCTAGTTCAGTTCTAGTTCAGTTCTAGTTCAGTTCTAGTTCAGTTCTAGTTCAGTTCTAGTTCAGTTCTAGTTCAGTTCTAGTTCAGTTCTAGTTCAGTTCTAGTTCAGTTCTAGTTCAGTTCTAGTTCAGTTCTAGTTCAGTTCTAGTTCAGTTCTAGTTCAGTTCTAGTTCAGTTCTAGTTCAGTTCTAGTTCAGTTCTAGTTCAGTTCTAGTTCAGTTCTAGTTCAGTTCTAGTTCAGTTCTAGTTCAGTTCTAGTTCAGTTCTAGTTCAGTTCTAGTTCAGTTCTAGTTCAGTTCTAGTTCAGTTCTAGTTCAGTTCTAGTTCAGTTCTAGTTCAGTTCTAGTTCAGTTCTAGTTCAGTTCTAGTTCAGTTCTAGTTCAGTTCTAGTTCAGTTCTAGTTCAGTTCTAGTTCAGTTCTAGTTCAGTTCTAGTTCAGTTCTAGTTCAGTTCTAGTTCAGTTCTAGTTCAGTTCTAGTTCAGTTCTAGTTCAGTTCTAGTTCAGTTCTAGTTCAGTTCTAGTTCAGTTCTAGTTCAGTTCTAGTTCAGTTCTAGTTCAGTTCTAGTTCAGTTCTAGTTCTAGTTCAGTTCTAGTTCAGTTCTAGTTCAGTTGTAGGTCAGTTGGAGTTCAATTCTAGATTTGTAAATGTAACATATGCATTTGTAATTAGAGTGATTATGTAATTAATTAAACTCACCCCTCTCCTCTTTTGAGGTATTACTCTGTTCGGAATACGTTCGCTGTCTAGTGTCGAAATTAACTTTGCGCCTCGATTTGACAACATCAATTTTTAAACATTTATTGTCTTTCAGAGATGAATCCAAATCATATTCTGGTGTAAAACTGCGTCGTTTCTGTGTTGTCTGTCTATTATCATCTGCTAATAAAGTAGAAGAAGTAACAATTGGATTAACATTAGTAGTGGTCGTAGTGGTACTATCCGCCTGTATAACTTTTGAAGTTGTTTGCAGCAAATATGAAGGTTTCAGTTTAGTTAGAACAACATGAGGATTACCTAAATTGAATTGTTCTTTATAAGTCGAGGGTGAGGCGGCAAGCGAGGATGAGGGATTTTCAAAAGAAATGCGACGTTTTGTGTGAGTGTTTGTTGAATTTTCAGGAGTTTCCAGGTTTGCTGAAGATTTTGCTTTCTTTTTGTTTCTAATGGGTGTAATTATATGATCGTAACAGCAGTCACTAGAGGTGGGAATTTCATTATTTAATTTTGTTGCATTATCACAAACATCGTCGGTAATTAAGGGATCCTGTGAGGGATTTAAAGTATAACTCTCTTCCGAGGTTTGTGTTAGCAGGGTAACATCTATGTTTTCTATACTACTAAGGTTTTGATTGTCTCCTTTATGCAAAGCAAACATTTTTAGTTCTACATCGTTGTCTGTATTGTGGAGGCGTGATGTTGTTGCTATTGTTTCATTAAGTAGCGATTGTTGTTCAAGTTTTGCTTTGGCCTTTTTCATAAAACGTTTTGTTAATATAACATTTTGTGTTAAGGGAATTTCCGCATCTTCCAAAAATGTTTTTGTTTTATCGGCGTTTTCGTAAGTCTCAGAATTTTCTGGGGCATTTATAAGTTTATTTATAATATCGGCATTTATTTGATAGTCTTCACTGTTGGACTTTTCACTAGTTTTTATACTAGGTTTAGGTAATCTAAGACGTCGAGTTTTTATAGGTTTGGTTACCTCTAAACTGGTTTTAGAAGATTTTTCATTATTGCTATTAGTTGAAGTTTCTCCATTATCTTGTTGTGTATGAGATCTTAAACGTCTTTCTTTAGTTGGTTTAGCTATAGAAATATGTTCATATGGGGGTGATTCCTCTTCGGTTTCGTCTTCATTTTTTCTTTGTACTTCAATTTGACTCTCAATAACTTCTTTCTCATCCATTGTTATGGCTAATTCTAGAATTTCATTATTTTGTTTAAAGGCATTATTAAGTCCAATATTTTGTTCCAGCTGTTCATTATCATTCAAGTCCAAGGATTTATTTGTATCTAAATTTTCAATTGAAGGTTGGTGGGCAACTTGAAATTGTTCACTTTCAAAGGGTACTTCTTCCTTATTACTATTATCATTCATTTCAGTGTTAGAAATAGAATTTGTTGTTTCATTAAGTACTTTTTTATCATTGTATACTTCTTCTTCTGTGGGTTTTTCAAAATTATCTTTATCAATTATATCCGTATTATTTAATACAGTTTCAGTATTTATTGATAAATCTTCATTTTGCAAATTAGCTGACATGTTATTGTCATTTACCTCCTGTTCTTGAGGTATGTTAATCATGTCATTATTACCATTTGTATCATTCTCCTGTTGTGGTAACTTATCATTATTTAAAAATTCCATACCACTTTCTTGTGGTACATTTAGAGTAGCTGCAGTTAAGCTTTCATTATCGTCAGTTATAGTTATTACATTATCTTGGACATCTTCATTATTAAATTCGTGATTTTCCTGGCTTTCTCCGGAAGATCTTATACCATTAACAAATTCTGAATTTTCTTGTACTTCTGAAATTTGTATTTCATTTACAATCTCGGGATTTACTAAAACGATATGTTGTTGTTCATTTGGTGGATTCGATTGTAATGACGACATCTCTATTGAATTGTTTGTAATTTGGTTATACATTGTTGAAATTTGTGCACTAGTTGCACTAGTATTAAGATTTTCATAAATAGGCAAACGTTTTTCTTGTTCTTTTAAAAGTTCATAAATATTTTGTAGTTCATGAATTTTTTCGTTCGGAGTCATATTTGAGGTGGTCTTTAGATTTTGTAATTTTAGATCAATTTCATCAATAATAGTATTTGTTTCTTTGAAATTTTGATACATAGTATCATATTTATCTGTTGTTATTGCGATAGTAGTATTAGCCTCACTGGAATGTAGGCGCAAAGAAGTTGCTGGGGGAGCTGTAAAATTCTGGAAATTATACAAAATTTTTTATTGTGGGTTTCAAAAGATACGCTCATGTTTTCATTTAAGCTTTTATAAGAGAAAAATATTTGTCATGATAAAGCAAATTGTCAAGTTTTGTTAAAGTTTTTAATCAAATGAAGAAATAGAAAAAAGATAGAAAGAAAATTTATCCAAATGCTTTTAAATAAAAATGTTATGTTACTAGAACTGAACTAGAACTGAACTAGAACTGAACTAGAACTGAACTAGAACTGAACTAGAACTGAACTAGAACTGAACTAGAACTGAACTAGAACTGAACTAGAACTGAACTAGAACTGAACTAGAACTGAACTAGAACTGAACTAGAACTGAACTAGAACTGAACTAGAACTGAACTAGAACTGAACTAGAACTGAACTAGAACTGAACTAGAACTGAACTAGAACTGAACTAGAACTGAACTAGAACTGAACTAGAACTGAACTAGAACTGAACTAGAACTGAACTAGAACTGAACTAGAACTAACTAGAACTGAACTAGAACTGAACTAGAACTGAACTAGAACTGAACTAGAACTGAACTAGAACTGAACTAGAACTGAACTAGAACTGAACTAGAACTGAACTAGAACTGAACTAGAACTGAACTAGAACTGAACTAGAACTGAACTAGAACTGAACTAGAACTGAACTAGAACTGAACTAGAACTGAACTAGAACTGAACTAGAACTGAACTAGAACTGAACTAGAACTGAACTAGAACTGAACTAGAACTGAACTAGAACTGAACTAGAACTGAACTAGAACTGAACTAGAACTGAACTAGAACTGACTAGAACTGAACTAGAACTGAACTAGAACTGAACTAGAACTGAACTAGAACTGAACTAGAACTGAACTAGAACTGAACTAGAACTGAACTAGAACTGAACTAGAACTGACTAGAACTGAACTAGAACTGAACTAGAACTGAACTAGAACTGAACTAGAACTGAACTAGAACTGAACTAGAACTGAACTAGAACTGAACTAGAATGAACTAGAACTGAACTAGAACTGAACTAGAACTGAACTAGAACTGAACTAGAACTGAACTAGAACTGAACTAGAACTGAACTAGAACTGAACTAGAACTGAACTAGAACTGAACTAGAACTGAACTAGAACTGAACTAGAACTGAACTAGAACTGAACTAGAACTGAACTAGAACTGAACTAGAACTGAACTAGAACTGAACTAGAACTGAACTAGAACTGAACTAGAACTGAACTAGAACTGAACTAGAACTGAACTAGAACTGAACTAGAACTGAACTAGAACTGAACAAGAACTGAACTAGAACTGAACTAGAACTGAACTAGAACTGAACTAGAACTGAACTAGAACTGAACTAGAACTGAATTAGAACTGAACTAGAACTGAACTAGAACTGAACTAGAACTGAACTAGAACTGAACTAGAACTGAACTAGAACTGAACTAGAACTGAACTAGAACTGAACTAGAACTGAACTAGAACTGAACTAGAACTGAACTAGAACTGAACTAGAACTGAACTAGAACTGAACTAGAACTGAACTAGAACTGAACTAGAACTGAACTAGAACTGAACTAGAACTGAACTAGAACTGAACTAGAACTGAACTAGAACTGAACTTGAACTGAACTAGAACTGAACTAGAACTGAACTAGAACTGAACTAGAACTGAACTAGAACTGAACTAGAACTGAACTAGAACTGAACTAGAACTGAACTAGAACTGAACTAGAACTGAACTAGAACTGAACTAGAACTGAACTAGAACTGAACTAGAACTGAACTAGAACTGAACTAGAACTGAACTAGAACTGAACTAGAACTGAACTAGAACTGAACTAGAACTGAACTAGAACTGAACTAGAACTGAACTAGAACTGAACTAGAACTGAACTAGAACTGAACTAGAACTGAACTAGAACTGAACTAGAACTGAACTAGAACTGAACTAGAACTGAATTAGAACTGAACTAGAACTGATCTAGAACTGAACTAGAACTGAACTAGAACTGAACTAGAACTGAACTAGAACTGAACTAGAACTGTACTAGAACTGATCTAGAATATTAATCGGATCGGAAAGTAAAGTATGAATATTTTATCCGGAAAAACTATTAATATAAAAATTATTGCAGCAAAATATTTTTATACAAAATTTTATCTGGATAAAGTTTTCATATAGAAAAATTTATCGTGATAAATATAAATTTTATCCAGATGTTGTTTTTAAATAAAAATTGTATCCATCTAAAGAAACTTTTATCTGGATAAAAAAATCAAAAAATAGAATCAAAATAAATGAAAAAAACTTACATTAGTTTGCACCTCATCACTGCTTTCATCTATGACCAGTACCTGTTCTTCATCGTTATCGTCCATCACCTCGATAATCTCACACGTCTGTTGTTCGTGATTTTTTTCAAAAGCCAATAATCTTTGCGTTAAATCTTCAATACTATGTAATTGTTCTATAAAATGAGTTTCTACTGCCGATGGTTTTGTTGTTAATAAATCTAAAATATGACTACGTAATGCTTCCATTAATTTCGGCTCTAGCGGACCATTGTGCATAAATTGACATTTGAAATCTTTTGGACATTGTAGATTGAGATAATAGTATTTGCAAGGAAAATCGGAATGTAAAAATTTACATGTCATTTCGGAAAGGCATTTTTTGCTTTGTAATGTATAGATACAAGGTTGTAGAATTTTTGAGTCATTATCGGTCTGGGTAATATGCGGCAAGGACTAAAAACGAAAAATAATTAATGAATAAGAAAAAGATAAATAAACTTTCTAAAATTGTATTTTTATAAAAAATCTTACCGTTTTATCTGCTACTTCGTCTGCACATGTTGTTTCTTCGCTTATATTTGTTTCTTCAGCATTATTCTTGCCTTTAACTTTAGTTGTTCTAGGCTTTCGTGGTTTTATAACTTTCCTGCGTCGATTTGTGGTTTTTGGTTTCTTTAATATCGACTTTAATGCAGTTGGGCTATCCGACTTATCTGCTTTTTCAACGGTCATATTATTTATTTCTTTTTGTTGTTTATGTTCCAAAGCTAATGAGTTTTTGCGTCCTCTTATTTTAGTGGAGGTAGCTTTAGAATCTATAGAAGTTGAAAATAAATGGAATATGTTTTAATGAGTATAAATTTAATAAGTTGATGTACAAAATTAAACAAGAATATTTTTAAATATTGGATTGAATTTTTGACCGATTTTCTCCAATAAAAGGTTAAAATTCATGAGGGTCATCAAGGCTAGTATAGAACTTGGTTTTTCAGCTTTTCGTCGAGATACGAGTATATTAAACATAATTATGAACTTAAAAGCCCTATTCGTCCGGTTCAGTTGTATGGGGGCTAGGCGAAATAATGGACCGATGTTAACATTTTTCAACAGGCTTCGTCTCCGGTACCATAGAAGATCGTGTGCCAAATTTCATTGAATTATCTTCAAAATTGCGACCTGTAGTTTGATTACAGACGGACGGACAGACGGACGGACGGACGGACAGACGTACGGACAGACGGACATAGCTAAATCGACTCAGAAAATTATTTTAAGCCGATTTGTATATTTTAAGTTTCATTTTCTTTCTTTTCAATAGATTAAAATTGCCATATTTCGTGTAATTATCGGTTAAGAAAGGTATATAAAATGCTCTATAAAATCTATGGGATTTTTCTGTTATTAAAAATGGTAAACTTTTCATTATAGACCAATCTTTTGTTCTCTTCGAGTAGCTAGGTTGTAGTTCAGTATATTTTCCTTCATCAAAATCTATTAGAAAATCACAATTTTCATACGGGAAATGCATACGTTCGTCACCCTTATTCATATCATTAAAATAGGGATGTATTATTTGTGTAGCATTTTCTCCCTCAGCATAGTAGGCTGGTGGGTATAGTACCAATAATATTGTACGTTACAAACATCAGCACAAACCCAATATACCCTCCCCACTAAAGTTGTGTAGGGTATAACAAGTAAGAAGTCTATATTTGCCTTTTTCCAAATCTTATATACCCTTCACCATAGTGTGTTTAAAAGATTAATTTTATAAAATTTCAATTTATGTCATTTTTCTCGACTCTACCATACGCTAAATGAAACAAAACACAAAAAAAAACAGAAGCAATATACGCAAAGCAATGAATCCAACACACATCCAAACGTTTTATTCCAATAAGCAATGTTTTTGTTGCTTTTTTGTCAAAGCATGCAAAATTGGATTTTTTTGATGAAAATTTCAGAGGTTGTCTCGGATTTTTGCTCATAACTCCTTTATATATGGACGAATTTTGTCAATTTTAAATAGGAAACTTCTCGAAAGCATGCCAGACAGAATTATTGAAAGTTTGGATCCCGAAGATATCTGGGGCCTTAAGAAAGCCCTAACAAAGTAGAAGCAAAAACCTTCTACAATGATAATTTTATTATTATTCGGTTATTATTTAAATTATTTTTCTTCTTACAAATCTTAATATAAACGATTTAATTTTAATAAATACCTTTTTTCAGCTAATTTAATTAAACTTTTCTCTACCGACTTTTCGTTATAAATGAAAAATGTCACAAAATAAAAAAAATATTAAAATCAAATGTATTGTGATGAAAAATGTTTGCCAAAGTGTAAAGTGGTTTTGGTTTAAAGTAAATTAAATGGAAATTTTCATAATTTCTTTCTGCTAGAAACACCTCCAAATGGTTGTTTCAAGCTTTAAGTTAAGATGTCTCGAAGAAGGATAAAGATGGTTAAAGAAATTCAAACCTTTAAAATAAATTAAACAGATTGGACTTTCGGACGTCATAACAGCTTTTAAGAAGGTGTCTTTTCGCTTTTATATGGTATCAAATATGGTGTAAAGCAGAAGTTCCAAATTTTAACATGAGTATACTTTTGTCTCTGGGTTTTGACTTTTTTTTGGTCTGTGTTATTGCCAAAGTCAAACTTAAAACGCAGAAAACTGAAACAAAAACAAAGCTCATAAAATTCTCCTTATCACACTGATTTTTATACCCTACACCACTTTAGTGGGGAGGGTATATTGGATTTGTGCTGATGTTTGTAACATACATAAATATTCGTCCTAGACCCACCTTAAAGTATACCAATCGGCTTAGAATCGTTTTCTGAGTCGATTAAGCTATGTCCGTCCGTCCGTCCGTCTGGCTGGCTGTCCATATAAACCTTGTGCGCAAGGTACAGATCGCAATTTTCAAGATAATTGGATGAAATTTGGCACGCACGTTTTATTTGACGAAGCCTATTGAAAATGGTTAAAATCGGTCCATTAGTTCACCTAGCCCCCATAGAACAGAACCCCCCGAAAAGGGCTTCTGAGCTCATAATTATGTTAAATATACAGATATATCGATAGATTACGGCACAACTAAGTTTTATAGAAGTCTTGATGACCCTGCCAAATTTCATAAAGATCGGGCCCCATTTGACCCTAGCTCCCGTACAAAGTCCCCTTCAGAAAATTACTTGAATGTCCCAAATTAACTTATAAACACAAATATCCCGATGAAATTCACCACAATAAAATATTATGTAAATATAAATATATTCGCAAAATTTTATCGGGCTTGGTACATATTTGCCCCTAGCCCCCATATAAAGCCTCTTTCAGAAAATTTGTTTTTCATCCATAAATTGCTTAAATGTATCGGAACAAGGGAATATTGAAGATAAATGTTTTATTATGAAAAATAAACCACATTTAATATTCATAACTGGTGTAGGGTATCATATGGTCGGCCACGCCCGACTATACTTTCTTACTTGTTATGTTCTTTACTTTGTATTGATATCAGATTTACTTGCATACATATAATACAGGCAATAACCAGTGCACTTCGCCGACTTTATCGTAATAATGTATTTAAAATAAATACATACAGTGTCTCACATAAATATTCGAATTTATTATTTTTTATGAATTACTGTGTTATTTTATGATGCTACTTTTAAAATAATAATAGTATTTGAATTTTTTTAATGAAATTTTATTAACTTTTATTATTTTAACGAAATACAAGAAAAAAGTAATAAAAACTTATTAATGGTTTTCAAAAAATGGAAAAAAATTCAAAAGGGGTCATTTCAGGTACTGCGCAAAAATATTCGAATTTTTTCTAAGAACTCTTCTAGAATCCTTCAACACGTGTTTTATTGCCCATTAATTAAAAAAGAGTTGATCAATTCAAATTAAAAAATTAATTTATATATGTATAATAAATCAAGGCCGATCAATTAAATACATATAGGAAATGTTTGATTTAACATTATCAAGTCGTCCAAAACTGTTGTGAATACAGCACGACATAGAAATACTGAGGAAATACCGAAGGAATCTTCATCTATCAGCTCCAAAAATTAACAACGAACTCAGGACATTCCTGTGAATAAAAATTAGTGTCGAAATTGTGCGCAAAGTACTAGGGAGCAATAATATGCATGGTCAAGTACCAAGGTGGAAACCGCTCATATCGAAGTTAATCGATGGTAAGTGTCTTGACTCCGCAAATAGACTCATAAGTAAGAATATTGGATTCTGGAAGGAGGTTATCTTCGACGATGAAAACAAATATAATATTTTTGGCTCAGACGGTCGTCAAATGATATGGCGAAAGCTTGGAGATGCCTTGGAATTATCTAACTTAAACCCAACTGTAAAGGAACCAAGTTGCTCTGTCAAGGTCCCCTTCAGAAAATTACTTTAACGCTTATAACTGGCCTAAATATACGAGTATATACATAGATGAAATTCGACATAAGTAAGTTTCATTTGAGTCAAACGAGGTTTGATGGTGGGAATATAAGATTCGGCATAGCCGAATATAACACTCTTACTTGTTCAATAGAAAAACGTTCCAAAATACACTACCTGGTACGTGAAAATGTTGATCATTTACAACACTAAGTATCTTCTTTCATCAAATTTCAATGGAGTTAATGTCTGGACTTAAACTCCATTGAAAATTTGTGGTTATATTTACAAGAACAACTTTTAAATCACTCATTATCCTCCAAAACCACCATACGGTTGCTTTGCATGAAGAATGGAACATAATAACGCCAGAACTATTTCATAAATTGGTAGAAACGGTCCCACGTCGCTTGGAAGTTGTTTTTAAAAACAAAGGCTACTATACAAAATATTCATTTCATTTTAATCATTTATTTTTACATCATAATGCTAATCTAAATATAATGTATACAAAAAATTCGAATACTTTTGTGAAGCTATTTTTTGCACTTTTTTTAAAAAAAGCTAAATTAGTTTAAGTAAATTATTTTCTTTACATTTTTTAAATGTGATATAAAATTTAAGGACAGTCTGGACTACATAATAAATTTATTTATTTATTTTTTCCACAAAATCTATTATAAAATGATGCCTGTTTTCATAATACATTAAATTCGTATACTTATGAGAGACACTGTATACGGTATACAATTTTTTCCCAATATTCTTTTTGTGGGATCTATCACGACTCCCATTTATAATTGTCCATCCAAAGGAAAATAACTTGTACAAAGCTTCAAGACTTTACCTAGAGTTGTTTCCAAGATATACGAATTTTAGTATTTGCTTTATAGTATCCCTCTGGATGTTTAAATTTCCTTAAATATATGTAAAAACGATGGACATACTTCTACAAAAAGTTAATATATTTTTATTTCAACAGTCAGTGGTTTAGTCGTCTATAAGTTACAAACAAACTAACAAACATACGTTAAATTATTTATAGATTTGAAATACGGAGTTTGAAATCTTTAATGTATTATTATAATGTAAACAATTTAACATGTAATCCCAGCAAAAAAATTTTGCAGTAGTGCAAAGTGAAAGCATGTTTCATGACTTCGTTAATAACAGTGCTAATACAACTCATTCTAAACGCCTTCCTAAATTCAACCTATTCCGCAGTTAAAAAATTTCTTTAAAACTTCAAAAATTAATTCAGATTGTTAATTTAATCAAAGGAAATTTATGTGTTATTAGAAATATTTTTGATTATTATTATTATTTTGTGTATTTTCCCATATTTATTATAATGTTTTCCTTAAAAATATTTTAAAAAATCGTTTTCGAATCATCGAATTTGCATTGGTTTAATTATTCAAAATTTTCGCATAAACACATGATCTCCAATGACATGCTAATGTTAAAATCATGCATGTTTCACCTAAATCGAACCACTTCGTCATCACTTGCGCCTCTGATTAAACAACATCTTTGTCATGTAACTTTTTGCTGGGATATATAAGAAAATTAGAAGTCAAAAATATGTATGCTAAAATAATAGCTTGGAAAATGGAAATGATAATTAATTAAAAACTTAATCCAATATTCACAAACGATTATGTTTTTGTCGGTTTGTTACAGGAATTTTGTACCTACCTACTATTTAAAAACTGCTAAAAAATCATTGATTATTTTATGAATACGGGTTATTACATTCCAATGAATTAAGAATGTAATGCAAAAGAATTCATTCTTCGAAAAAAGTTAATAGTGTAACAACACCGAACACGGATTCATGTATTAAAGATTTTTTGTAATTCTTGACTGCAATATTTTTTTTACTAATTCTAAATTAACATAACTTATTCCAATTCCATTGATATCTTTTTATATGGGCAAGTTTTTAGTAAATTTAGCGCTTCTTAAAAGACAGGTTTTCATGCACCACCCTAATGCAAACACATAAATTTTGCACGATTTCCACAGAACTTATTGCTATGAAATAATAAACCACAAAAAAGTATGCTTACCCAGCATTTTTTGTTTATTCATATTGAAAGTTTTATTGTTGCAGCGATAAGATGAACTTACACCACCTAATAAAACTTTAAAATCAACATCCACAATGCCGACACCAACACCGCCAACACTATTACTGCTATAGCTTTCAGATATCGTGCTGCCGCTGCTGCTGGGAATGATTAAATGGCTCTGTCCTTCTGTGATAATTTCCGATCGTTTTATGGCAGTTTTAGTGGTGGTAACACGTTGTGCCATAAAATGGGTATAATTATCCAAATGTATAACTGTACTCTGACCAGCAGGTATTATACAGGGAGCAATCTTTTTCGGCATATACTGTATGGAATCTTTACGTTCCAGGGACATGGAAAGCGAAGAAACAACTGCTTTTCCTTCGGACGTTGATGTCACAGAAAACTTAGCACTGGAAGCTGTAGCTGTAGTAGTGAACGGAGTACCATTAGAATTAAAATTTCCAATAGTTCTTATTCGTTTCTTTTCGATTTGATGCTTAACCACTGATGAATTATTATTGAGTGTACTACTGCTACAACTATTGGTTTGTTCTTGTACATCTTCAATGATGTGAAAAGTGGACATTTTATTTTTTCAATCAATTACTATTGCCAAATTAATATTATTTCTTATTCCTTACTACTTGTGCAAAAAATTATATTTCCCGCGACGCAAGTTTCTCGTAAAGTTAACGGAACTTCTTTGTAGTTGTTGTTGTTTATTTTTTGCAGTGATGCATTTTAGTGTGAAGAGAGTTGTTTTGTAGGGTTACCGTATCCTATTATTTAAATTATAATAGGGAAACAAAGTAAAAGAATAATTTTGTTTTAGAATTTAACAGATTTTGCTGAAATGTTTTAAAGTAAATAGAAATTATTGCTTTTGGAATTAAATCCTGGCTATTTATAGCTAAAATCTGAAGAATAATATTTAAATAGAACTCATTAACTGATTTATTGTTTTTCGGTTCGAAAAATACAAAACACAGGCTCTGAAATCTTTTTGTTCTACATTTTAACAATATTATCCTAACAATTTCTTATTCGAAATATAAACTTGCCATCGGGTTTTGTATCAATATACATATTACCATTACATTTACCAACCTTTGCTTTGTTTTCGACACTTTAAAATTCCTTCTGAGCTATCGATATTAAAAATTAAAAACAAATATACGTTATTTAAATAAAATTATTTTTATTAAAACCGTTTTATTCAATCTTTGGCTTACATTTCTGTAAATATGGACAAAATCATTTTAAATATTTACTATTAAAAACACTTTTCTCTAGAAAGTCATGTAAATATTGCAAATAGAATTATTATTTTTTTTTTTCAAAAGTCGTTGCCCTTTTAAATGCTGTCTTTACATATGTATAAACCTATAAAAAACTTAAGTAAATTAACCCATTCCATATTAGTATCCTTAAATCTAACTAAGTTTCATTTTCTTTCTTTTCAATAGATTAAAATTGCCATATTTCGTGTAATTATCGGTTAAGAAAGGTATATAAAATGCTCTATAAAATCTATGGGATTTTTCTGTTATTAAAAACGGTAAACTTTTCATTATAGACCAATCTTTTGTTCTTTTCGAGTAGCTAGGTTGTAGTTCAGTATATTTTCCTTCATCGAAATCTATTAGAAAATCACAATTTTCATACGGGAAATGCATACGTTCGTCACCCTTATTCATATCATTAAAATAGGGATGTATTATTTGTGTAGCATTTTCCCCTTCAGCATAGTAGGCTGGTAGCATTCCATCGAATTCGGATTTCAGAAAACGTAAACGAAAGTTTTGAGCGGGAAAGAAGAAACTGCCAGGATAACGATACCAGTCCTTGCCAATACAAACATTATATATTTGATTTTGTCTATATTGTGGTGTAGTTTTGAATTGTGTTAATTCCATCATTAGATCCATGGGAGCATGATAATTACGATAGAGTGCAAATACGCGTGATAAACCCATTAAAGTACTTATCATCATTATGAAAATTGCTATGAACATGGTGTGATCCAAATAATGAGCGCCAGAAGTAGCATTTTTAATTTTTACCACTAGAGTTTTAAGGCGGAAAAATATACGTTGAAACACATCTACTGTAATGGCACCACACAGAGATATTAACGGATAAACAGGGAATAGAAAACGTTCTTCCTTATGGGGTTGAGCAAAAAATACCAACAGCCATAAATAGAATGGTGCTAACGTTAGGTAACGTGGAAAATTTAAAGTTGAACTTGATTTGGCGGGCACCACAAAGTAGTCGATTACTAACATTATGGGTGTGATTAACGATAAAAGCTGAAAAATAACAAAAATATAATTTGTATTGCTAGGAATTAAAGTAAACTTGGGATATTATTAAATCTAAAAAAAACACAATCTTTTTAAAACTATCACTTAATCCACTTAATTTTTGGATAAAATTTCCTATTATTTGTGTAATAGAAAAACGTGTAACTTGGCAACTCTACATAAAAATTTCAAAATAAACATTGTTGCCCATTTCTAACATTTACTTCCCTTAGAATTTGGGATTAATTACTATACTTACCCAAACAATATTGAAATTCAAAAATCCATTTATCAAATAGTAACTCAAAGGTTCAGTACCAAAGATATTTGGACCATGGCTGGTAAACACATTATATATGACAATGTTCAAAGGAGCAAATGTGAATTTTCCAAAATAGCTCGAATCAATGACAGTCATAGGTATGGCAATAGTAGCAGCTGATATACCGGCCCACAAAAAGAACGTCCGGAACATGCGTTTACGTAATAGCATATCCACTGCTATTGGTACTCCAATTAGACCAGCAAAAGGCCAACCCAATAAAGCCGAAATGGCTATGAAAAATACAGCCAAAGGATACTTTTGAGTCCACCAAGCGGCCAATGCCGAACAACCGAAATACATAGCAAAGGATGAAGGCAATAAAGCCGTGCTAGAAACAAACATGCCCACACTAAATAGTTGGAATATAAGCCATAAACGGCCTATATGTATACCAAATTCTTGACAAATGGATCTGTAATTAAAAAGAGAATCATTCAAGTTATGTGTATATTATACATCAACTGGTACCACTTGCTTGTACATAAATCTTTCCATTACGGCACAACCAAAACCCAGCATACAACGTATCATGTAAAAAATCAATATTGGGCTAGGATGGAACACTTTTTGATAAATCCATCCAGGAACTCCCTGCAACAACAGATAAGTGTATGAACGTAAAGCAAATTGTGGACTATACTCCCAGGTCTGTAGGCCATGACCGTTAATAATATAGTGCAGTGGTTCCCAATAGTTGTAGGTTTCATCACAGTCCGATATATAGGCCCAAATGGCACTGCATAAACGGGCGCTAACAAATGTTTTGAAAGCCGTATGAACACTTGGCACTACATTTGTTTTCTCACTACTCGACGCTGTTTCCTGTTGATTTTTATGACTATTACTAAAAGAAAAAATCGTTATGTGGTGACTTAATATTGTGCCAATATCCATACCGGCTTTTTTTTGTAGGTGTTGCAATGCTTGTTTGTTCTTACCTTAATTTCTTGTTTTCTTTCTTTGTCACTGTTGTGTTGAGCTTTTTAGGAGGTTTTCGTGAACCCACATTGTTGTCCTGTTTATTGGCATTATAACGTTGCCTGGCCGCTGGTGGTGCCATGATTTAACTTAAAAATTATCTCGTTTTTTTAATTATTCCAATAAAATTCTGTAGTAAATAACAAATTTGTGACGTGAAAAAATCTTATCAGCTGAAGGGTGGTTGATAGTGTTGTTAATTTAGCGATTTTTAATAATGTCCATTATTTTTATTTATTAAGTGGAAAATTCTCGCCAAAAGCAGGGATAGGAATAATTACCTAAATATTTAGAAGGAATTAATATCTGATGTCATGGCATAATGTGAGACACTATTGTAAAGCTTAAGGAGACTAAGTAATCCTAACATATTCTAAAATCCGTTGGTTTTATGACATAGACATTCCAATATTTCCATAGATTTTCAGAACCAAATATAAAGTATTCTATTATCAATTATTTCGTATGGTTTAATTTAATTAAATTGTTAATAACTATGATGAAAATGTTTTTCCAGGCTAGGTTTGTTTTCGTTTAATACCCAAAAGTGTTTATTGAAATCTAGATTTGGTATATTTGTGAGATCTAGAAGATTAAAAAATGTAAGTAATGGTGTTAATTAATTATTTATTTGTCTATAAAGAACGTCTTTTCAAGAAAGAGGAGGCATCATGATGGTCTCCTGGAAGAATGCCCACAAGAGAGTGGCAATTGTATACCTCCCTAGTCACCTAGTCGGGCGGTGGTCGGTCGGCTAGTGGTGACATGGTATATTATCACCTAGAGGCAATGGAAGGAAGCTGATTGCCGTATTCAGGGGGTATCCTAGGGATACATACTTATTATTATACCATTGATCTCAGCAAAATCACTACCATACACCCATAATAGAAGGCCGATGTCTGTCTGGTGTGCCTTTCAGTGAAGCTCTTGTTGTCTCCAAACACTATGGTGGTCGAATATTTACAAGAAACAATTGTTAAGCCGCCTTTTATACAAATTTATAGCTTTGTAGAGAATGTCTTCACGGACCTAGAGGATATAACCTGGCTAGGTATGTAGATGTTGTTTGAGCAAAATATTGGTACTAACCATTGTGGGCTTTATGTCGACTTTAGATCCCTTATAGTTTTCACACTATACCAAATAAGCATTCTTGCTGGAATTAAAGTTTAAAACAAGTTTAATTCCAGTCAAACATTCAAATTTCAAGTGTTGAAATACACTTTCATTACACTTTAATTCAATAGCATTCTCCAGTGAAAACGAAACTTGAATTCAAGTCGAACATTACAATGTTTTTACAGTATAATTCAATGCACGAAATCTATATACATAATACATATATAAAATTCTAACGTTACTGACTGACTGACTGATTCATCATCGTAGAGCCTAAACGGTTTTAGCTAAAGAGCTGAAATTTAAACAAGAGGTTGGTCTTCCACCAAATAGATCCACTTAGACGGGATTTTTGGAAATGCGAATGATTAGGGGGTTAAAAATGGTAAAAACGGGTAAATTCGGTAACCTCATATCTCCTAAACTATAAAAGATACAAAAACAGTTTAAAGCTTATCGTCGTTCATTTAAAAAATAAGCGGGCAGGTGTCTGGTACTTTTTTCAAATTCGGCCCCTTTGGGGAATTAACGGGTAGAAACTGTAATATGGTACTTCTTTTGCACCCCATGTATCTTTTAAACCAGAGAACATTCAAAAAATATTTTTGAATACTTCATAACTTGACGAACAAATAAAAATATAAATTTAGTACTTTTTGGATATTCGGACGTTTAAGGGGTGAAAATTGTACCTATTTTTGGTACTTTTTTATAAAACATTGTTTTTGGTTTATTAACTTATACATATGAATACATAATAACGGGCTCCCAATACGATGTTGCAACTGGTACTTTTTTGACTTAGAACTTAGAAACATGTAATTAAGCACTTGAGAATCTATAAAAGTTGACTTTTTGGTACTTTTTCGTTCTTCAAAAGGTACTTTTTGAGTTTTCTATTTTTCGTTTTTCGACTGGTACTTTTTGATTTTTTTATAGTATTGAACCTAGAAACATGAATTTAGGAATGTACAGCCCGGATTAAGTAATAACATATAAAAGGGAACTTTTTGGTACTTTTTCGTTCTTCAAAAGGTATTTTTTGAATTTTCTATAATATTGAACATGGAGTAAGTGAGAACATATAAAACGGGACTTTTTGGTACTTTTTCGTTCTTCAACTTGTACTATTTAGATTTTCTTTTATAATGAACCTAAAAACATAAAACTAAGCAATCAGTGAATGAAAATTTAAACTGGAGTATTTCTGGTAATTTTTCGTTCTTTAACTGGTACTTTTTGAATTTTCTAAAATATTGAATATATAAACATAAAATTAAACACACAATATCCATTTTGCAAAAAGGGCTTGATATCAATCGAAATCTCAATAGGCCATAATTGACCCTGCCCCCTTCAATAATTGATTTTAACGTTTTCTCATACTTTGTTGGAACGAAAATATGTAATGTAAATATGTATATGAAATCTTCTTCAGAAAATGACTTAAACGCACATAAATGGCTTTCAAATGTCGATGTCGAAGAAAAAAATATTTTTAGAAACCGAAACTTACATTTATGAAAAATAAAATTTTGAGGATCGGTCCGCCTACATAACCCTCTTACAGAAAATCAGTTTATAGCTAATACATCATTCCAAAAGTTATCATTATGAAAGATTTATGGTAGAATAAAAAAAATACTTTAAATTATAGAGAACTTTGTCCATAATTGACCTAATTCCACATTTAAGTCTCTAATCCGAAAATCACGGTGACGTTCTTATTAATCTAATGATCAAAGTCCATATATATATGTGATCCCTTTAAATGATGTTGTTCTGGAAGAACATTAACATCCATGTAAACATTTTGGGTAATAAATTGGGGGACTACCAATGAAGGGAGCGGAACCTCCCATATGAATTAAATACAAAAATTCGTTTATCTGGGAAACTAATAGAATTAAATTTTTCAAATTTTGCACGAAGAACTTTAATATTCATCTGAACATTTTGGAGAAAAAAAGGCGGACTTTTATCTGGGGGGCTTGGAGCTCCCATATGAATTAAATAGAAAAATTCGTATAGAAATTGCAATAATTTGCATGGAATCTCCCATATGTAACAAATTGTATATCTGGAAAACCATTGTAGTTAGAATCATCAAAATCGTTAAGTGGGTTTCTTATTTATATTGCTTTTAGGGTAGCACAGCACACTGGGTATAGCTAGTAAATAAACAAATAAAATATCTTTGTTTTTACGTTTTATTTGGAGGATAGGGTTAAATATCGGCAGATCCTCGTAAAACTTGGAGAAAGGATTTGTTTTTAATTGTTAAGAATTTTTTTATTCATCCCTGCATAATTTCTCACACAACTTTTGAGCTTGATCTGTTTTGTTGTTATAAACAATATATTTGCTTCCAAAATCCCACTTTCTGATCTCTCGGATTCCGTTTTTATTTAAAATCGTTGAAAATTTAAAAACTAAACGTAGTTGAAAACTTAGCCGGCTTACAGTCGATTTTAAGCCGCCGCCGACATATTTAGTGTCAGTCGCCGACGCCGTTAACATTTGTCGGCGCAGGGATCTGATCGTATTACAACTCTGTTTGCGCGCCAAAAACAATTTACCTCTTCGCGTGTTTTATTTTTGCAAAACAAATTCCCAAACAACAATTTATTATAAAAATTGCATTCTTTGTGCATCGGTGGCTGCAGGCAAATACCAAGCGCTAAAAATTTGTTAAACAATTGTTATTTGTTAAGTTTGTTTAATTGTTTTTGATTAAAAGTTTATTTTCTTAATAAAAATGGCTGTAAGTTGTGTTAAAAAATGTGTGTGAGACTACAATTTTATAGATAAAATCTTTTTGTAGGATTTACCAAGTTCTCCACCGCCAGCAACACCCAGCGATGGTGCCGATAGACGTGATCTAAGGGCTGCCATGACTTCGCCCGTGGGAGATTTTGAGCCTTTTGAAAATGAAGATGAAATTTTGGGTGATCAAACGGTGCGTGATGAAGAAGAGGAAGATGGAGAGGAATTGTTTGGAGATAACTTGGAAAATGATTATCGTCCTATGCCGGAACTGGATCATTATGATCCTGCTATGCTCGATGATGAGGAAGACTTTTCCGAGTTATCACAGGGAGATCGTTTGGCAGCTGAACGAGAAATGAATAGGCGAGATCGCGCCAAGGGTATTCATCGTGACGATCGTGATTTGGGCTTTGATCAGAGCGATGATGATGACGATGTGGGTCCTAGAGCTAAGCGCAGGGCCGGCGAGAAAGCGGCTGTGGGAGAGGTAGAAGATTCCGAAATGGTAGAATCCATAGAAAATCTAGAAGATACTAAAGGTCATTCTACCAAAGAATGGGTTAGTATGCTAGGTCCTCGTACCGAAATTGCCAATCGCTTTCAATCGTTCTTGCGTACTTTTGTGGATGAAAGAGGAGCCTATACCTATCGTGATCGCATACGACGCATGTGTGAACAAAATAAATCTTCATTTGTGGTGTCCTATACTGATTTGGCAAATAAAGAACATGTGTTGGCTTATTTCTTACCCGAAGCTCCATTCCAAATGTTAGAGATTTTCGATAAAGTAGCCAAGGACATGGTTTTGTCTATTTTCCCTACCTACGAACGTGTTACTACGGAAATTCATGTGCGCATTTCTGAATTGCCCTTAATTGAGGAGTTGCGTACTTTCCGTAAATTGCATTTAAATCAATTGGTACGCACTTTGGGTGTAGTAACCGCCACCACAGGAGTTTTACCACAGTTATCTGTCATTAAATATGATTGTGTTAAGTGTGGTTATGTTTTGGGCCCATTTGTACAGTCTCAAAATGCTGAAGTTAAGCCCGGCTCATGTCCTGAGTGTCAAAGTACGGGTCCTTTCTCAGTAAGTGGTTATATAAGTTTTTTTTTTTTAAAGTGAAATTAATAATTTTTTGTTTGTTTTTACAGATCAATATGGAACAAACTTTGTATCGTAATTATCAAAAAATTACTCTACAAGAATCACCCGGCCGTATACCCGCTGGTCGTATACCTCGTAGTAAAGATGTTATCTTGCTGGCAGATCTTTGCGATCTCTGTAAGCCTGG